CTGCCTATCCTGTGTCTTAAAACCCTCAAATGTTATAATACACTGACAAAATATAAACAATAGTACCATCTCAACTCACTGGATAATATTTTATAAGGCAGTTTTAAATTAAAGTAGCATCTGTTCATTTCTAATTCACGACCCTCTGCTTTTTCCAAAAAATGAGTTATATGTGACTGGATCAAAACTCCATTTTTCTGATATAAAAAAATACAAAGATAAATCAGAAGTCATATTTAATAATTTCATCCAAAAATGTAGTCAAATATAATTTATATAATAAATAATTGAATTCCGCTCATTTTACAACAAATCTTTCACATATAAAGGTGCTGTATGTACGTTTTTGAATCTTCTAAAGCATACAAATACCATAATATGTTTGGAGATATTTAAGAAACATGCCAAGTGAACACTCTTGTTTATCAGAAAAACAATACTGAAGTCAGATATTCTGCTTTGAAAATATGTTTCCTGTGCCGGAACATCTGCTTTTGTTTTGTTTCTAACCAGTTAAACTCCATAATTGAGGCATCAACTTTCGACTTAATATTTAAAGGGCTAGCATTGCACCAGACCCCTGTAAGTGGTGTCGTTTGACGTGCACACATGCATCACTTTGGTTTTTGTTATACTGTACAAAAGTTATTTACACTTAAATACACAGTATTTTGGATACCCGAGCTGGGAATTTTACATTGGTTCATTTTCATATTTTTCATATGACACATGTACAAGTTATAGCTCAATTGAAAGCTTTTGCCGGTGCTCATACGGTTCTAGCATTCTTTTTACTGAATTATATTCACATATCAATCAGTTGCCGAATGAATCGTGGTGTTTCCATGGCGCAGAAGTGAAAACGATACAGTTACAGTTAATGCAGCTTAATGCTTTTTTTTTAATCACTCCAAGTTTAAATCTTACAAGTTTCTATAGGAATTATGCATAGGGGGAATTACGGGGAATAGAACACAGAGGCGTAGTTACAGGCATACAAGTTAATGACGCAGTTTGCGCATGCTCGTTAGAACGATGGGTTTGTTAAACTTCAAATCAACAAACTATCTTTGTAATGACAGAACTTGCAACCTTAGTTAGCTAATGATGGTTTTCAGAAACTTATCCCAGATTTGTCCGCTTTTTGTACATTTTTCTCAGATTTGTCCGCTTTTTGTACATTTTTCTCACTTGATGTTAGTTGAATTCTATATGCAGGGTTCCCACGCTTCTTGAAACTACTTAAAAGTTTTGACATTCAGATGGATTCAAGGCCTGGAAAGTATTTAAAAACAAACACAGGTCCTTGAAAGTGCTTGAATTAAATTTGTTGAATTAATATGATTAAAAACTTGATTTAAAACGATTGTACTGTCCAAAACAGAACTGTTAGAAAACGAAAAATTCTTAAATTAAAAATCCTTCATTTAAATCTTGTTCAGTAACACTGACAAATAATGGACATTTTATCAATATTTCAGAAACCACATTTAAATATCACCAGTATTGAATTCAACACATTTATTAAAGTTCTTTGAAGATGAACTTTGAAGTGTAAGTGAAATGTTAAGTACAGTAAGGACTTTCATGGTACTACATATGCTGGGGTATGTGCCTGGTTTCATGGTACTACATATGCACCAAGGTGCCTGGTTTAAAATTAAAGGAGCTTTAAAACAGTGTTTCTCTGTTCCTGAAGTCACACTAACAGTTCACATTTTCAACCTCTCCCAAACCAAAAACACCTGAATCAAATCATCAGAACATTAGAAGAGACTTCAAACCTTGAAGTTGATGAGTCAGATAAGGGAGACATCCAAAGTATGTACTGTTGGTGTGCCTCCTGGAATAGCGTTGGAAAACACTGCTATAAAAAGTCCTTGAATCTGCTGTTCATGAAAACATGGGAACCCTGTATATCATGCAGTCTCTATATCTGAATGTTCATTTGTGTGTGTTTGCTTATTTGTTGTCTCTCTTAGCAATGCGAGACACTAAGGACGCTCTAGAGAATGTGAGTCTGACCTTGGAGACTCTGCAGGAAGGAACAGTCAAACTGCAGGCAAACCTGAGTGTGGTGCGCAACAGCCTGAGAAACGCCCTGAACGATCCCGTCTGTGTGGATGCTCCAGCACCGGAGATCTGTCGAAACATACGCAACTCCATTCCCAAGCTCGAAATCGCAGCCAACTACTCATCGGTATCCTAATAACTTCATTACAAAAAAAACGTCATTAACAAAAAAAATGACTTTTGCTGCTTTTTCAAACTACCTAGTGTATTTAAAATGAGTTGAAACAACACAATTCTTAAGGGTTTTCGGGGGGACAAATTAATTGTTATGTTCAATCCACCTACATTTGTGAAAATGATTAAGGTCACTGATAGTTGACATGGTTTTTACTTGTACGAAATAACACGTGGTTGGGCTTTTTTGTTTGTTTTTTTTAAGTTGCCTGATGTGACCGACCAGTTAAATAAGGTGAATGACGTTCTGAAGACGGATCTCAGTCAGATTGTGGCAAAGGTATTTTTTTCAGATTTCTCTTAACATTTTGTGCACATCCAGGACAGAACATAGACTACCTGAAAAAAGTCAGGAGTAACAAATAATAACTTGACTTCTAGTTTATCATTCGGGAAAGTGGCAGAAGGTGGTGTTGGGATGCTGAGCTGCATCCCAATAATTACAAATACTGCAGGAGACCTACTGGAACCCGCATGGAGCCTAGATTGTCATAGAAATTAGTCAAGTTTGGTGAAGGAAAAATCATGGTTTGGGGTTACATTCAGTATGGGGGTGTGTGAGAGATCTGCAGAGTGGATGGCAACATCAACAGCCTGAGGTATTAAGACATTTGTGCTGCCCATTACATTACAAACCAAAGGAGAGGGCAAATTCTTCAGCAGGATAGCGCTCCTTCTCAGACTTCAGCCTCCACATCAAAGTTCCTGAAAGCAAAGAAGGTCAAGGTGCTCCAGGATTGGCCAGCCCAGTCACCAGACATGAACATTATTGAGCATGTCTGGGGTAAGATGAAGGAGGAGGCATTGAAGATAAATCCAAAGAATCCTGATGAACTCTGGGAGTCCTGCAAGAACGCTTTCTTTGCCTCCAGATGACTTTATTAATAAGTGATTTGAGTCATTGCAGAGATGTATGGATGCAGTCCTCCAAGCTCATGATGGAGTCAGACACAATATTCATTCTGTCTCCACTGCAGGATGACTTTATATTCTATACTGGACATTATTTCTGTTAAGTGACAAGACTTTAGTCTCTGCTAAATCAGAACTTACTGTCCTAATCAAAAAATTAAAAATCAAGGCATGATCATGTTTTATTTTGGTAATAATAAGCAATAATAAGCGTAATCTAGAGGCCTTTGCCTTTCATATAAGCAACTTCTGATACCAAATGATCAACTAGAAGTCGAGTTATTATGTGTTGTTCCTAAAACTTGGATATGCAATAAGACATTTGTCAGGTAGTGAATTGTTTTTCAGACTGAAACAACATATTTCATGGATTTTGAAAAGTAAACATAATACGGTTGAATGAAGTTTTTGGAAGGGAAAGGACTTTAAAATTGTTTGGTCAGAAGTTTGGAGGCTGTAATTTATTTTTAGAAATGAATACGTTTATTCAGCAAAACTAGAGCAAATTGATAAAACAACAATAAAGACATGTGGCAAAACATTACCTAAATAATACAGTTTTTACAAAAAAAAAACTGTTTTTAACATTAATGATTGATTAATAATTCAGCTTTATGACATAAATAAATATCATTTTAATATTAAACAAACTGTTTTAAATTGTAAAATATTTGTTTCATTTTATTAGTTATTTTTTACAATTCTTTAAATCGGTTAAATGCTGTTCAATACTTTCTTAAAAAGCATAAAAATGTACTAAACCCTAGACTTATAAACAGTAGTCAATATTTCTAAAAAATAATTCATTCAGTTTTGTCTTTTAATGTGCATACCTGCGTTGTATATGCTTACGATTTTTCATCTGTCACACAGGGGATTGCATCTTTTAATGACACTCCTGCTATGGTAACCGCTCAAACTCGAAATATTGTTGAAGGTAAGCTCACAGATTTAATTCTTTAAGCATATTTTGCTTCAGGGGCAGTTCTAGATGCTTTTGGTGAGCTAAAGCCTGTCATTTCAGCCACAGTAAAACTTAACTGTTTAATAATCCTTTGATAATCTCAACAGTGCATTCAAATCTGTGTTCAGTATTTAGTCTTTTCAACCTGTATTATAATTTCTACCAGTATTAAAATCACATAATCACAGACCTACTGAAATAACAGGTTATAGTTCAGAGAAAAACACTGATCTTTATGGTAAAGATTAAAATTTCGGTTCAAAAGCAACTTTAAGCATGTGGCAATTACATTGTTTTACCAATAGGTGGCGACAACAAATCATCAAAATTGTATGTAACTGAATGATTCTTTTGAAAGTTTTCATTAGTGAGTTATTGAATCATTAATTGAAAATGAACATTTAAAAAATAAATATAATGCTTTTTATTTATCTTATTGTTTTTTGTTTACAAGATTATAACGTTAAATTTGTACATTTGTAGCATTATCAGCAACAGTAATGAGAGCTCAGCACCCGTAGGTGTGGAAACTTACAACTGCTCCTGTTTTGCTTCCTTGATGTTAATTGCATTACTCTGTAAAAGACTGAACTGTTGTATCTGGTGTGTCTCCTGTAGGGGTGAAGGTGTTGCTTGATGACATTGGAAATAACATCACCTCTTTCAGCAAGATGTTGCCAGTTCACAGCTCTCTGGCCAACTTCACCAGAATGATCTCTCACACACACTCGCAGATCGAGGACATCTACCCGCAGATTGATCAGATGGATTTCTACAGGTACTTCTTCCGTTTATAAAAATGTAACGTTTTTATAGCATATTAACTGCATTGTTTCTCATACGTTGTTATGGTAAGTTCGTTTTTTGATTCCTTTCACGCTTAATAACTCACTTAATGGTCAATTAAAGGAATAGTTCACCCAAAAATAAACATTTCAAGGTCAATTACTCATCCACACAGGCCCGTGCAGAGACTGTCCAAAGGGCATGTGCAGGATAAATGTGGGGGGGGGGATGCTGCAGATCTGCAGAGTGGATGCGCGCGTACTGAAGAAGAGCGGTGTTATTGCGTGCGTACTGATCAGCTGTGTTGTCGCGCGCCTACTGAAGGGCGGGACCAAAGGTGTGCCGCATCGCGGGGGCCCTTTTGATCTTTTTGGAAGGGCACTTTCTATCCAAGACTAAAAAGGGCATGTGCACTGCACAGGTTGAGCCCTATGTGTGCACGTGCCTGCATTCACATTTAGGGCTGGGTGATATGGCCTTTAAAATAAAATAACAGATTTTTTCACACGATTTACAATTTATGGTTATTAACGTATATAATTAGCATAAGCATATCATAATTATGTACTTAGCTATAGGATACAAAAAATGCTTGAGAAAAAACTTTTCCTCAAGAACCTTGCTAGCTGTGATTTTAAAATCAAATGGAACAAGATCTAATTACAATTGCATAAAAGACTTTTATAATAATAATATCAATTAAATCATTTCATGAATTTACAGTGCAAGTAAACTCAAAATTATTGTTAATCAAGATTGTTTATTTTCCTATTATTTTGTACGTTTTATTTTAACATGAACATACAGTACATTCAGAAATGTATTCATTTCATATAAATGACTCACACAGGCTAGTATGTTACATTTTTTGTTTTATTTGTGCCGGGCTGCTGTATCTGGTAGACTTTGGGCTCTATTTTAACGATCTAGGTGCAGTCTAAAGCGCATGGCACAAAAGCATTAAGGCCGTGTCAGAATCCACTTTTGCTATTTTAGGGATGAAAAAATACACTGTGCCCTGGCGCACGGTCTAACAGGGTTGTGCTTATTCTCTTAATGAGTTATGGGTGTGTTTTGAGAATAACCTGCATTAAACCAATGACAAATCTCTTATTCCCTTTAAAGCCGCCTTTCCACTGCACACGACATTTGGACACGACTGTCGGAATCCGCCCCCTTGTGGCAGTCGCACAGAGCTTTCAGTTCTGACATGCACCATGGGAGAGAAGCTGTTCTCGCAGTGTCCGAAATAAAGGAGTGCAAAAGCAATTCTGCGTGGGTGAATGAATAAATGAATGAATACTTGAAACTCAGAACACTAAAGAATATTGGAGGGAATGTGGAGACAACATAAAAAAATATTTTTTTATTACTTACATTTATGAATAGAAATGTTTTTTTGTTTATATAGACTTTTTCTGATTTAAAAAATAACCAAATTAAGTCCTAATTCTCATCTTGCGCAAACGGGCCTGCTTAAACAACACTGGAATACATCACATCCGGTCAGCCGGTCGCATACGGTCTAGTCGCAGGAGTTCAAATATTTCAACTTATCCTAAGCTCAATTCGGATTCTAATTTTCCTCATACAAAGATGATCGGAACTCCACGCAGCTCCCGGACTACTCTCCATTCGAAATGAATGACTTCTGGTCTGTCGCTTGTCGTTTGTCATGTGCAGTGGAAAGGAGGCTTAAGAGTCAGTTGCATCACGCCATGGCGCATTTGCTATTTACATGCCGGACTTTGTTAGTGGGAAAACTGAACGATTCACTAGCGAGAAAAGTTAAACAGAGCATCTGCAGCGCGAGGATAAAGAATGAGCCTCCTCCATTCTGCCTTTTAACATTCGCTTTACTTTTACTCTTTACTTCTATACTTTGCTGGATAAGGAAACGGTGTTGAAAGCATTCCACTGAAGACATTTATAAGCCTACATATTTAATTTCATTTGTTAACCACAAAGATTTGTTTCAAATCTATTTCTAAATTCAGTTCTAATTTCCAGCAAATGAGTAGATGAACAATAATAATGAAGTGTAGACAAAAAGCGGAGTTATACCCACTTTTTGTGCAAAGCGATTTACAATTGAGGAGACATTCAGTGATTCAACAAGAAGAGGCAATACAAACAACTACTAATTATACAAAGACATTAGGTGAAGTTTATTTTTAAACTAATTTCCAGAGGATCTTATGATTGACTACAGCTGGACCTGCATTAGCTAATGCATGATTCAACAATCGAATGATTCCTAACTCATTATAAATAACCAGAGTTCCTTACCTCAATCATCTCCAGCTTGAAGAATAACGCCAACTAAACGAAAACTATTATGTTTAGAAATGTGTTGATAAAATCTTCTCTCTGTTAAACAGAAATTGGGGGAAAAATAAACAGGGGGGCTATTAATTCTAACACAGGCTCATTCTAAAAAACATAGTCCCGTGGACGTTTCTGGAGACCGCGAATTATGTAGCTGGGGGTACGTATGGCTGCAGTTAAATTTTTTTATGTGAATGCTACGGGGCAGTATGACGCCATTCCTTTTCGCGGTTACCAGCTGACCGCTTACCTCCTAGTGGAGGGCTTTCCCGCTGCAACCAGTTTGTCCAGTTAGCTCATCGAGCATGTCAGCGGACTTTAGGTGCAGAGAGGAGTTGACCAAGATGACAACAACGACCAAGTTCGAGTCCTAAGAAGAGCAGTTCCAAAAATCAGGCTAGACAAAAACAGACTCCAAAAAATAAAATGAACGAGTGAATAACAGGGTGAGAATGTGGTAAAATCCGAAATTTGTGGTAAAAATCAGAGAAGGGCTTTTCTTATTCTGGACGGCTTTTGTAAATCGTTGGTTGGGTTTAGCGAAGTAAGTGTGTGGGCAGGTTAATCGATAAAATTGGTTGGGTTTAGGGAAGGAGGAGGGTGGCTCGGTCGATTTGCCATTTAGTTGGCCAGTTAGCCAGTCAGACAGACAGACAGTTGACAGCGACCTCTGGTGGGTTTACGCGAGAACAGCGGGCCCGAACGGCGCTTGCGAGAGAATTTTGAGATATGAAAAAGTGCACACAGCGGCCTCTTGTGGATTCCCGAAAACAAAAACTGCAAAGAAATACATACCTCCCGGGATGTATTTTGAGGGACTACGTTTTCAGAATGAGCCTGGTTTGAATAATTCAGGTGGGCTAATAATTCTGACTTCAACCATAGGTGAATTGACCAAACCAAATTAGCACCATAGAGGGTAAGAACCCTGCATGAAATCTCTCTTGACATTGTTCATCATGTTTGTGTCTTCAGGTGGATCGGTTGCATTACCCTGTGCTGTATGATTGTGCTCATCCTCACCTTCAATTTTCTGGGTCTGTTGTGTGGTATTCTGGGATTCGACAGACACGCTTCCCCAACCACACGTGGCTGTGTCTCCAACACAGGAGGGAACTTTCTCATGGCGTGAGTTTGAGAGTAACATCAGTCGTCAAAGCCACCTAAAGGACGCGCTAATAAACTGCTGTTTGATGTGTCTCACAGCGGTGTGGGCTTCAGCTTCCTGTTCTCCTGGGTGCTCATGGGAGTCATAACAGCTTTGTTCCTGGCAGGAGGCAATCTGGAGAAGCTCGTGTGTGAGCCCTTCCAAACACGACAGCTCTTCAAGGTTAGAGAAACACCTGTTTTCAGTACATTTGATGCATGATAAATTTCTGAGAGCACAGGGAAAATCTGATTCATTTCATTTATACACATAAATTTAAAAGAATGGGAAACACTTTAGTTACTAGTACTAATTCTCATTATTAACTACTGGCTTATTACGTGCCTTGTATTAAGATAATAAGTGTTTATTATTGGTTATAAATAGGGATGTCCTGATCTGGGTTTTTTCTTTCTGCTTCAAGCTGCTTTCGTGTTCTACTTTGCCGGCATTTAACCAATAGCGTCTCTGCAACAAAGTGATGTCATGCCACATGCGTTGCTGTTTCTGTGTGAAGTCAAGAAAGAGGTCTAACTCTGTGCCACCGCAACTATAGATGTGTTCAAAAATAATGAGAATATGCAGTATATATACATATATATTTGAGTCCTGATCGGGAGGTAATAATGTCCCATTCCGATCAAGTCTGAAAGCGCGTGATCGGGCCCGATTTCCGATCACATGATCGGATCTGTACACCTCTAATCCTACTCAATACCTAAACCCAACTACTACCTTACTGACTATTAATAAGCAGCAAATTAGAAGTTTATTGAACTAAACGTCAAAGTTAAGGGTTTGTTTATTGTGAGAATTTTACCTTAAAGTAAAGTGTGACCAAAGATTGCTTTTAATATTGTACTGATCATGCACAACTGAAAGAACACTAGCCACAGCAGTGCATTTCTGCATTTTTGTAATTCCTAAAATGAAAATTAATGGGGCTTCTCGAGCTGCTTTATGTTCACTGATTTGCTTCTTTTACTGCAGCTATCACAGCTTGTCGAGCTTAAAATGGGTTAAGACATGCTGCTTTGATGGTAAATGATGGTGCAAATACCAGTCCATTGCCTATAGCAACCTGTAGGAAATTACAGGTCACGTTTGATTTTAAACACTTTCCTCATATATGTTTTTTGTCTTAAAGGAAAAGTCCTGGGCGGCGCAGTGGGTAGCGCTGTTGCCTCACAGCAAGAAGGTTGCTGGGTCATTTGCCATTTCTGTGTGGAGTTTGCATGTTTTCCCCGTGTTGTTGTGGGTTTCTCCCACAGTCCAAGGACATGCGCTATTGGTGAATTGGGTAAGCTAAATTAACCGTAGTGTATGTGTGTGAATGGGGGTGTATGGGTGTTCCAGTGATGGGTTGCAACTTCTGCGTAAAAGACATATGCTGGATGGTGGTTCATACTGCTGTGGCGACCCCAGGTTAATAAAGGGACTAAGCTAAAAAGAAAATAAATGATTGAATGAAGTAAAAGTCCTATAATTGCAAATGCAAGTTCAGGTGGTAAAAAAGCTGTATCAGCCTTTAGGGTTTGGTGCAATTACAATTTTATTTACGATTTAATCAAAATTCTTTATTTATGCTGGTTTTGTTTTTTGTTTTTTGCCTCCACATAGTGTAAAAATGCTCCAAAAGCTGTATATTGTTTATATTATATATTATATTATTCATTCATTCAGCTTAGTCCCTTATTTATCAGGGGTCGCTACAGAGGAATGTACCAGCAACTATTCCAGCATATGTTTCACACAGTGGATGCCCTTCCAGTCGCAACCCAACACCCATACGCTCTCACATTCACACACACCAATTCTATTTACCCAGTTCAGGAAACCCACACCAACATGGGGAGAACATGCAAACTCCACACAGAAATGCCAACTGACCCAGCCGGGACTTGAACCAGTGACCTTCTTGCTGTGAGGCAACAGTGCTAACCATTGAGCCACCGTGCAGCCCTTTTATATTTTTACTATATATTATATTATATTATATTATATTATATTATATTATATTATATTATATTATATTATATTATATTATATTACATATATTATATTATATTATTTTATATTATATTATATTATTTTACATATATTATATATATTATATTATATTATTTTATTTTATATTATATTATTTTATATTATATTATATTATATTATATTATATTATATTATTTTTTATTATATTGTATTATATTATTTTATATTATATCATTTTATATTATATTATATTATTTTATATTATTTTATTTTATATTATATTATGTTATTTTATATTATATTATTTTATGTTATATTATTTTATTTTATATATTTTTTATATTATATTGTATTATTTTATATTGTATTATTTTATATTATATTATTTTATTTTATATTATATTATATTATATTATATTATATTATATTATATTATATTATATTATATTATATTATTTTATATAATATTATATCATATTATATTATATTATTTTAGATAATATTATATTATTAAATATTGATTTATTTATTAAATATTAATATAAAATGATATTATATTACATACACATTTTTTATCAGTTAAAAAAATAAACATCATGTTTTGGTTTTAATAAAAAATATAAAACACTTTGTCTCAGACATTTGGACCCACTCTATGTGCTGAGAGACTTCACTGAACTCACTGAACGATTCACACTCACTGATGAATTCTGCCTCTCTCTGATTGTATAATTCAGTGCGATTATGATATGTGTACAGGTGTTAGATACTCCATACCTGGTCAACTCTGCTTGGAGAAACTTTATACCAGGATACCTGTACAATGACCCAGAGATGGACCTTACAGCATATTCTCTCTACAGGTAACTCTGCCATAAAAACACAATTGTATTGCTTCAATTGTACTCCAAATCCCTGGAGTACTTCTTTTGATATTTTTACAGATTTGTGTGTGTTGAGTATCAGTTAAGACTATGTTAGCACCTGTTAGCTTTAAGCAAAGACCTGCCAAGCTGGGAGACCAAATGACTGGGTGTTCCGCCGTCGTATGTGTTTTTTCCATGATCCACGGGGTTTGTTGCATGTTTTTCCCTGCGATACTGTCCAGGCCGATACAGCAAAGCTGTTGGTTTGCAGCAAGCATGTTTGTCGGAAGAGCTGTACGAGAATTGAAGAGTGGTAGACTGTTGAGTAGAGTTCATTACCATCAGGTTACCATTCAGACACATCACCTATATCCTTGCTGCTGTGTTCTCACATGTTTAAAATCCTCTAGATTACCGGCAGGGTTAATAGTTGGAATAGACAGGGCAAGAGACTGCACTGCTATCCAGCTTGTCAGCATTCAGACCCGGGGATTGAGGAGGAGAAAAGTTCCCCTCATTTATAGTGTTTAAATAAACACAATTATCTTTATAATGATAGAACAATTTGTGGTTATGTGTAAATGAAATTACGAATGACAACTGTAGCAGGGTATTACATTATTTACTATTTATTTCTTTACATTTTAACTTTGTAAACCGTCAAATCAGTCTCCTCACGGTTTGGGTCTCATTTTGTGAGCCAACTGACAGTTCGCTTGAATCACTCTACTCTTTTTCCCCTGCACTGTCGGCCACGCCCACTCAACCCTCTGCTGAGTGCTCACAGCGCTGCCCCTCGCCCATCTCAGAGCATTTTCTCCGAGAAATTTCACACACACTGAGGTAGATTTGAACTGAAAAAGGGGGATTTCATGGCCCTTTAAAGTAAAGTGAAGATTTTTTTTGCTGTAGCTCATTTTAGAATTTGACTTTAATAGCGATCATTTTAAAAATCTGTTTATTAAACATGATATGTTTTTATTTATTTATTTATTTATTTATTTCGCTTTTAGTGTGTCATTAAATATAGAATCCAGGCCCATAGTCAGCCTGTTGTAAGGGGTGATTCTTTTTTTCTCAAAAAGTGTATCGTTTTGCAGTTATTCGCCTCATTTACTGTTTAATTGTGAGATTTAAACGCTGCATTTTAGTGACATTTTAAGCAATATTTTTAGTTGGATTATCTTGTTGGATGGTCATCATAACCACACTTTTTTATGCACCAAAATATTTCCTGAAGATTTAGAATAAAGAAATTTGAATAAATACTTATTTTTAAAATACAAATTTATTACATCATAAATCATTAGAAAAAATAGAAATCTGTTAAAGTTTAAAATTAAAAAATGTAGCTTATTATAATTTATTAGGCAAATAACAAACTGGCCAGAACATTCAACTTTCCTCAGTCAGAATTTGACCATTTGAATAACTTAAGAATAATGTAGAGCTTCACAATTTTTCTAGCCTCTTTGTAAAAAAGTAATATTGAAAACTCTTGGATAACAAATTGTATTTAAATGAATTTTTAATATAATCCGCTTTTGGTGCTTCACATTATTTTAATCAGTCATTTTTTGTTTCAAGTGTAAGGTCCAAGATTTAGAATAAAGGTTACCTGTAAAATGTTTTCTCTATTTAAAAACAATACAGTAGCGAAAGATGACCTCACTTACTTCAGATTGTATGTTTTCTTGCACAGCTGGATCTTAGGCTCATGAAAAATAATTGTTCTGATTGACCAAAACTGATTAGCTAAAGTCACACCTAAGTGACAGCCAACAGAGGATTCCAGTTACTCTTAAAGCCTCTGGATGGATTATTTTCACTATTTAGAATGCCATAGCAGTCAAAATAGGATAAATGAGCTCATGTATGGGACAAATTCTGCACCTTTGTCAGTGAGGGGTGGGTCTTTCTAACCACCTGAACCCCCTGGCTACGGACCTGGAATCATGTGTTAATTTTGTGTCGTGTAACACAATAGACTTGACATTTTCTCAGAAATATTTCAGCTTTCAGTGGTCCAGCAGGTGGCAGCAAAGAAGAGAACTGAGAGGAAATTTTAACTACCCCCCCCCCCCCCCTCTCTCTCTCTCTCTCTCTCTCTCTCTTAGTAACTGTAAGGACAACAGAGGGATTTACTCAGCTCTTCATCTGGACAGAATCTTCAACATCTCATCCTTCTTTAACACCAGTGTTGTGAGTGGATTAAACAAAGGCTTATGTGCACACTCAGATCACACAGAACTACAGTTGATTTAGATTAGTGCTCTACTCTTTACACAAAGACAGCATTGTGATAAACGGGGGTAAGTTAGGACAGTTCATGCACTCTAGAGATTGGTATTGACAGTATTAGCAGGGGACCTGATATCAAATATTTTTTCATACAGCTTTGCCTTGTTTCTAGTCCAAATATCTAAAAATTCTAAAAAGTAACAAGTATTGTTTTGTTTTCAGAAATAATAAGTCAAAATGAAGCGAGTTTTTCTTTAAAATAAGCAAAATTATCTTCCAATTGGCTCAGCAAAATATTCTTATTTCTTATTTGCTCATTCCGTTACTCATCCCATTGCTTATCCCATTAGGAGATTATTTTGCTTGTTTTAAGGAAAAACCCATTTTAGTTTTTATTTTTGAAAGCAAGACAATATTTTTTACTTGTTTTAAAAAATATATCTATTTTAATATCTAAAAAAAAAAAAAAGATATTTGGATTTCAAACAAGACAAAAACTCTTAAGTGTAGGGACCAAAACTCATGTGAAGGTGTTTTCAAATGTTTAATTAGCTTGATTAATTATTTAAGTAGATTAAATACTAAGAATCTCAATTTATTTTGTATACTAACCATTTTTTAAATCAGTTTGCTAAATACTTAGTAAATTGTTGAGACATTTAATTTGACTGAGGGTTCTTGCATTAGAAAATCATGTTTTGGAAGGATTTATTACTCATTAATTATTGTTTGTGAAGAACGCAGATACTGTAGCTTTTATTAACCAGAAATCTTGGTTTGGGCCATTTATGAATTATCATTTAGTCTTTAGCAGATGATCCTGCATAATAACATAAAATAATAAGTAAATAAAATAATTTTCTATATATTTATATACAATTTTTTAATGATTTTTTAATTATTTCCCAAGTGCTGTTTAATGGAGACATTTTGTCAACACATTTAAAAACATAATAGTTTCAATATCTTACTTATAAAAACATTTGTTTTATATTTGCCTTGATGACAGTACGTAATATTTTCTTTGTTATTTTGCAAAATACTAGTATTCAGCTTAAAGTGACATTTAAAGGCTTAATTGGGTTAACTAGGCAGGTTAGGTTAATTAGGAAAGTCATTGGACTTTTGTGTTTTGTTCTTTTTATTTAACTTGATTAATTAATTAAAGTAGATTAAATGCTAAGAATCTCAATTTATTTTGTATATTAGCCCTTTTTTTTAAAATCCGATTAGTAAATACCAAGTATTGTTGAGACATTTAATTTGACTGAGGGTTCTTGCATTAGAATATCATGTTTTGGAAGGATTTATTACTCAATAATTATTGTTTGTAAAGAACGCAAATAGCTTTTATTAACAAGACATCTTGGTTATGGGCCATTTTCGAATCTTCATTCAATCTTTAGCAGATGATCATGCATAATGACATAAAATAATAATTATATAAAATCATTTTTCATTGTATTTATATACTAATTTTGAATGATTTTTAAATTATTTACCATGTGCTGTTTAATAGAGACATTTTTTCAACACATTTTGAAACATAATAGTTTTAATAACTAAGTTTTTTCTTTGCCTGATGACAGTATGTAATATTTGACTAGTTATTTTGCTAGATTCTAGTATTCAGCTTAAAGTGATATTTAAAGGCTTAATTGTGTTAACTAGGCAGGTTAGGTTAATTAGGAAAGTCATTGGACTATTGTGTTTTGTTCTTTTTAATTAGCTTGATTAATTAATTTAAGCACATTAAATGCTAAGAATCTTAATTTATTTTATATTTTAGCCCTTTTTTTAAATCTGATTACTAAATACTAAGTAAATTGTTGAGACGTTTAATTTGACTGAGGGTTCTTGCATTAAAATACCATGTTTTGGAAGGATTTTTTCCTCATTAATTATTGTTTTTAAAGAAAATGGATGGCTTTTTTAACCAGGCATCTTGCTTATTTTTGAATCTTCGTTTAATCCAGCGGTGTCCAAACTCAGTCCTGGAGGGCTGGTGTCCTGCAAAGTTTAGTTCCAACCCCAATCATACACACCTTTGCTAAGTAATCAACCTCTTACTAGGCTTTCTAGAAACATCCTTGCAAGTGAGTTGAGGCAAGTTGAAGTTAAAATCTGCAGGACACCGGCCCTCCAGGACCAAGTATGGACACCCCTGATTTAATCTTAAGCAGATGATCTGTGGATTGTCTTAAAGGAAATTCAATACTTCATTGTGTAACACTCTTGGGGGAAAAAATGTAAACAGTGTGTTCTTCCAGTCCACAGTTGGTTGTTTTTCTTCTCTGGAACTGTCGAAAAGTCCCAAAGCACATCATGCATAACCATTTGAAGGATTTTTTTACACAACATCTATAAATTCCTTCAAGCCAGAATTCTTGATCGAGCATCACATAAGATCCATAATTCGGAGACCACACTGAATTGAAACTCTTTTTTATGACATGCATAATAAAGGAAATAATGTGAAGAGCGTTTATACAGATGGACAATTGTTTTCTCTCTTTTTCAAAAATCAAATCATGCTGGAGAACATCATTATGAGCTTATATAAAAACTTGTGGAAGTTGTGGAGGACATGCAATACACATTTTTTATTACATATTTTCCCCTAAATTGTAAATTGTAATAAATATATTACAGTCATAATATGAAATGTAAATAAAATAAAACCACATTTTGCATTAGCACATTGATAATGTATTATTTTGTTTGTTTTATATTTTTATAAATATACGAATCCTCAGTCACTGGTAAAAATATAAAATAATTTATATATACAATATTTGTTATATATATTTATAAACAATTGAAGGCAAAAACTATTAACCCTGATTTTTTTTTAAATATGCGGAGATGTTTTTTTAACACATTTCTAAACATAATACTTGTAATAACTAATTTCTTTTATCTTTGCCATAATATTTTACTAGTTCTTTTGCGAGATACTAGTATTCAGCTTATAGTGCATTTCATAAGCTTAAGTAGGTTAATTATATTACCTAGGCATGGGTGTGTTTCCCTAACAATGAAGTAACTAGCGGCTAAACTGTCATAGTAGGATGCATCGTTTGGGAAAAGAACAATGTAGTGATGATTGTTTTTTAAAACCCGCTTTAAAAGGGGTGGACTAACAACAACTTTAGAGAAAATGCCCATAATTTTTGTTATAAAATTGTTTTGTTTTACAGGCACATGCATTTAAATAAAAAGTCCAATATTATTTTTGGTAAAAACATGCACTCGCTTTCTATATTAACTAAAACATATGTAAACGTCACATAAAGGGCCTATGATGTAATTGAGAATATTCTATATTCTATTCTAAGACATAAAAGCCACTTAGCTAACACTCTAATCTCATAAATAAATCGTTAATGGTTGAAATTTACAGTAGGCTATTTATTAAGAAAGTAATAATAATAATAATTTTATATAAAACACTTTTAAATAAGAGTTTTTTCAAAGTGCACTGTGAAGGGAGCACAATTGTAAACATGAAGATCGCTAAAACTGAACTGTAAATTATTTGAAAGCAAATTACACCTAAGAGAGATGACTTTAATGCTTTTTTAAAATAATGTTAAAATGTTTTAAATGAATAGGGCATGGGGGGATAACTGGGAAAAGAACACAGCCAGGAACTATGCTTTTAACTAGCTCTAGAGGTGTAGTTGCAAGCTTAAAAGTTTGTGATGCAGTTTGCGAATGTTTGTTGGAAAGACGGATTTGGGAAATGCAAATCAACTATGTTTGTAACAACGGAACTTGCAACCTTACTTGTCTAACGATGGTTTTGAGAAACGCACCACAGATTAGGTGCTTAGTTCTGGAGCCAGTAAAAAACAATCATTTCTTATGTAGGGGATAATAATATTGAATGTTTCTTATTATCTTAAATATATGCTTTAAGTCCAGCCAAACTAAAAGAAAGAAGTAAATAAATAATTAAATAATAGGGAATACTGTGGGGAAAAATGTTTTTTGCTCTGTTAAAGTATTTACATATTATATATATATATATATTAGTAGTAGTAATTATTTAGTGGGTGAACAGACAGTTCCTCGTACAATATATCTTCGTGACAGTCCATACTGGTTTCCTGGACTAATATCAGAAGCACATTCTTATCATCATCACGTCTGTCCGCAGTACTGCAGGGATGTGTCCAGTAAATACACAAACTCTGAGTCACTATTAAATGTCATCCAGTAATATTTGATATATATAAATTTATATACAGTCGAAGGCAAAATTATGAACTCTCCTGTGAAAATGTTTATCATGTTTCCTAAGTGCTGTTTAATGGAGACACTTTTTCATTACATTTTTAAACATAAAAGTTTTAATAACTAATATATATACTAATATATACTTTATATATTATACTAATATATATATATAATAGCTAATTTCTTTTGTCTTTCTCACAATGAAAGTACATAATATTTTACTTGTTATTTTGTGAGAAAAAAAATAACTAGGTTAATTAAGCTAACTAGGCAGGTTAGGTTAATTTGGTAAGTCATAGGACAACAGTTGTTTGTTCTGGAGCCAATCGACAACAATAATTTCTTAAAGGGGTTTTATTATTAAAATCTGCTTTAATTTCAATCAAACCAAAAAAAGTAGGACTTTCTCCAGAAGGACAAAAATGAAATAGTGTGGAAAATGTTTTCGCTCTGTTAAACATCACTTGGAAATCATTTAAAAAATAATTCAACTTTCACAAGAGGGCAAATAACTTTGCCTTCAACTATGTGTGTGTGTGTGTGTGTGTGTGTGTGTGTGTGTGTGTGTGTGTGTGTGTGTGTGTGTGTGTGTGTGTGTGTGTGTGTATACAGTTGGAGTCAGAATTATTAGCCCCCTTCGAATTTTTTTCTTCTTTTTTAAATGTTTCCCAAATGATGTTTAACAGAGCAAGGAAATTTTCACAGTATGTCTGACAATATTTTTTCTTCTGGAGAAAGTCTTATTTGTTTTATTTCGGCTAGAATAAAAGCCATTTAAAAAAAAATTTAAAACCATTTTAGGGACAAAATTATTAGCCCTTTTAAGATATATTTCTTTCTCGATAATCTACAGAACAAACCATCATTATATAAAAACTTGCCTAATTACCATAACCCCCCTAGTTAATTAACCTAGTTAAGCCTTTAAATGTCACTTCAAGCTGTCTTGAAAAATATCTAGTAAAATATTATTTACTGTCATCATGGCAAAGATAAAAAAAAATCCGTTATTAGAGAGAGTTATTAAAACTATTATGTTTAGAAATGTGTTGAAAAAATCTTCTCTCCATTAAACAGAAATTAGGGAAAAAATAAACAAGCGGTCTAATAATTCAGGGGAGCTATTAATTCTGACTTCAACAGTATATATATGTATGTATGTATTTACATTTACATTTAGTAATTTAGCAGACGCTTTTATCCAAAGTATGTACATACATTGTACATATATACATATATGTATGTATGTATGTATGTATGTATGGATGTATGTATGTATGTATTGTATGACAGTCCATAATAATTTCCCAGACTAATATCAGAAGCACATCCTCATCATCATGTCTTCCCGCAGTACTCCAAGGATGTGTCCAGGAAGTTTGAAGGACTGAAGGTGGATTTACGGGGCATCATTCTTCTTGAGTCTGAAGGCAAAGTCAACCTCAACAACTTCTCTGAAACTGGCATTAATGAGATCGACTTTGCTGCCTATTTAGAGGAGGTACAGTACATAACCTGCATAAACACACGCTCAGATTAAAACCTGGCACTATGGGCATTAAATCATTAACAGTCTGGTGTGAAACTGCACATTGTTGTTTTTCATGTTTCTGTTCATCCTTCAGGTTAATAAAGGAGTGACTCGAATAGATCTCATTGATTTCGCCAATCAACTCGATGCTCAAGCTGATCAGTTGGTAAGGTTTATTTTTGGTTCAGTTCAAAAAGTAAAACGAGTCTAAAAATTTAGGAGCAAAAAAAAAAGGCTAGATCGAGTCCCGGCTCGGCCAGTTGGCATCTCTTTGTGGAGTTTGCATGCTCTCCCTGTGTTGGTGTAGGTTTCCTCTAGGTGCTCCGGTTTCCCCTACAGTCCAAAGACATGCACTATAGATGAATTGAATAAACTAATTTGGCCATAGTGAATGAGTGTGTGTGGATGTTTCCCAGTACTGGGTTGCAGCCAGAAGGGCATCCACTGCATAAAACATTTGCTGGAATACATGGCGGCAGTTCATTACACTGTGAAGACCTCTGAAATAGACACTAAGCTGAAGGAAACTGAATGAATGAAGGGATAGATCGTCACATCTAGGTGATTGCTAGGTAGTTGGTAAGATTAAATAAGTGGTTACTAGGGTGTTGCTAGAGAACCCTGGGTGGTTGAAAGGTGGTTTCTGGGCAATTGCTATGGTTTTGGTCAGTGTTTGGTAAGTAATTTCAAAAAAAGTAATGAATTACTAACCACAACTTTAAAATTGTATTCAAATTACATTTTTAATTTCTAAATTGTCTGAAAAGTAATTTAATTATTAACTCAATACTAATAATCCACAAATCTCAGTGCATAGACAATAGAATTTTAATTCTTAACTATTTAAATTTGAGTCATTTTCCATATTTCAAACAACATACTGTATCACAACAAATTGTTTCAAATTAATGACACTGTACTTCATACATACCCTATTGACATACATTTCTAAAATAGTTCATTGTTTCTAATCCATGAGCAAATGTTAGACAAATCAAACCTTCAGTTATTCAAAAATATCAAAAAAATGTCTGAATAAAAATATATATATTACAGCTGATTTGCTGTTGATTCTAATGACTTTAGTTCAAAACAAGGCCGAGGCACATTTATAGCTGTGTGGATATGAGAGACCTTAATCGGTAGTGGGAATTTCGGGTTTCAAGAAAATGTTAAATGTTAATAGAGCCCAGTTATATTATTCCTTGATAAGCCCATTTCAGTCAGATAATTCCTGCTTTCAGATCCACTAAAATGGCAGGTGACAGTGAAATCAAGCAGATAGATCTGTGCTGTCTAAAGAGAAGGTGAATACTCAACTTTCTGAAAATAATAAAATACTTAAAAAATAGATTGAAATCGAGTTCCATATAAAAACTATATTATTATTTTCTTTTTATTTGTTTAACTACTACAATATTACATTTATTTTTTATAGGAAGCTTTTGGGTTTTGAGTATAAAGAAGGATTTGTTTTATTTGCTGCTAAGCAGAAACCACAGTAGTACAGCTCTATCACTGTTTAAAGTAAAAGAAAAAAAACTGAATCATACTTTTATGATGTTAGTTTTAATACATTAAAAAATTAAATCAGAGAAATCCTCTGGCTTTTTTCTTTTTTTTGCTGTATCGAAAACATACTGAACTGTGACAACACTGTATCGTATCGAACTGAAGCGTGATTTTTGTGAACCGTTACACCCCTAATATATATATAGTTGAAGTCAGAATTATTAGCCCCCCCTAGAATTATTAGACTGTTTATTTTTTTCCCAATTTCTGTTTACCGGAGAGAAGACACATTTCTGCGCAAAATAGTTTTAATAACTCATCCCTAATAACTGATTTATTTTATCTTTGCCTTGATGACAGTAAATAATATTTGACTAGATATTTTTCAAGACACTTCTATACAGCTTAAAGTGACATTTAAAAACTGAGGTTAATTAGGTTAACTAGGCAGGTTTGGGTAAATTGGCAAGTTATTGTATAACGATAGTTTGTTCGGTAGTTTATCGAGAAAAAATATATCTTAAAGGGGCTAATTATTTTGTCCCTAAAATGGTTTTAAAAAAATTAAAAACTGCTTTTATTCTAGCCGAAATAAAACAAATCAGACTTTCTCCAGAAGAAAAAATATTATCAGACATACTGTGAGAAACTGTGACATATCATTAATTGTAAATATATATATATATATATATATATATATATATATATATATATATATATATATATATATATATATATATTTACAATTAATCTGCTCCTCTATACCTCACATTGTCATGAGGAAATTTCTCAATGAATTTTTTCTTTAGCATTTACAGTTATACATTATAAATATTCTTTAGTTGAAAATAGAATTATTCTGTAATATAAATACATGAACAATTCCATGCAAATGTCAACCTTGCCATTAAAAAAAATTAAGTTTTCACCAAAATATGAAAACCGTTTCTATGTTTTTTGTGAAGGTTTGTTTTTTTACAGTACTTTAGAAATACTCAAAAATTTCTCTGTCAGTGTTTTCAAACCATTATATTTGATTTACCAAAGTCACACAAATGTCAATTTCGCATTGGTCACATCCATAACGGAGAGATGTCACATCCATAATGACACTCTATCCTCATAAATGCAAAAATGTCAAATAAAATAAAGTCAATCATGTTTGTTCTATTGAAAGACATATTTTATCCTTTTGATTAGCATTATTTCTTTTGGGTTGTGCAGTTTAATTCACAGAATTTCTACGACTTTTTTGGTCACATCCATAGCGCATGTTTATTTTCCTCATTTAAAGAACAAAACATGTTTAAAAATTGATATTATTCTGGTCCCTTAACTCCCTTAATATAAACAAATGTTTCAATATAATGTTAACATATACTTTCTATGTAAATTTGTGTTTTTACTGCAAATGTCCCATCCGTAGCGCTGGAATTGCTCATATATAATTGATTTATATTGAACTATGGAATTAACATGCAGTTTAAGTTAATACATTCATTGAGTTATTCATTTTCCTTCGGCTTAGTCTCTATTTCAGAGGTTTCCACAGCGGAATAAACCACCAACTATTCTGGCATATGTTTTACCCAGCAGATCTCCTTCCAGCCGCGACCCAGTACTTGGAAACATCCATACACTGTCACATTCACACACACACACACACTCATATACTACGGCCAATTTTAGTTAATTCAATTCCCCTATAGCGCATGTCTTTGGACTGTGGGGAGCACCCAGAGGAAGCCCACACCAACACGGGGAGAACTCCACACAGAAATGCCAACTGTCCCAGCTAGGAGTCAAACCAATGACCTTCTTTTTGCGAGGAGACGTTGCTAACCACTGAGCCACCGTGCCGGCTCCAAAACTAGTACATTATAATGAAACTGTAATAAAATGACATTCAGTGTGAAAACTAATGCCTTACTTTCATTTTTCAGCTGAAAAGTAATTTAATTACAGGAACTAGTTGCTTTGTTACTAATTACACCCAACACTGGTGTTTCTAGAGTTCTTTCTGTGTTTGCTATGCGGTAATGGTTTTGTTTTTTCGCAGTCTAAAGGGACGTTACAGACTTCATTAAAGGGACATGCGAACACTATAAGGCAGATCCACATCCAACAAGTCGTCCCACTGGAGCAGTCCATGGTAATCTAACTGTAGATGCTGATTTCATTGAAAGCCCTCTTATCTATGAATAGTTCTTCCACTTAGGAAAAGCTTCTGAATGATGTTCATGTTGCTGTTCGTACCTGACTCTCTTTTAATTCAACTTGATTTATGGCACCCAAGAAATATGTGAAAGCGAGGGTAAGCCTGTATCTACCAGTAATAGCTTCATAACCTGCAAGTTGTTCACTCCTTTTGATATCTTCTTTGGTTTTTCTGTGAAATCATCATGAAAAAAGAACCAAAAACATCCATCTTCTTTTTAGAGTAACTTCATCGTATCCCTTGTCTGTTCATAGCATGCCCGTCTACTGGAAGCAAATGATGGAAAATAATGATGTTTCTCAAACACTTAAGGATTGCTACTTTATCAGACTAGATATAATATTATAATACTATATTATATTCTTCACATTACAAAACCATTTCAATATGCTTCATATGCTTTAATTTTCCAGTCTATATACACTCACCAGCCACTTTGTTAGGTGCACCTGTCCTCCTGCTCATTAATTTTCTAATTAGCCAATCACATGGCAGCAACTCAATGCATTTAGACATGTAGACATGGGCTGTTTCTCAATGTGCGTTCTTCAGCGGTCTTGCGTCCTCGTGTTCTTGTGTAACGTCATCATCAGTTGCCAAAGTTCAGTTCCAATACTCAAGACCGCAAGTACGGAGGACGCGTGAAACTTCCCGGATGTGTTCTTGATATCGAGGACGCAACGATGCAGACTTGAGAACTGCTCCCGCTCTAGAAGTCCCAGAAGTCATTGCGACTGGAGGTTAGATTTATTATTAAAGTTCAGAGATATAGCTTTTTTACCTCAGGAGCTTCCCTTAATGAAACGGTGAATATAAACATCACCATGGACATCTTAATAAAGGAATAAACACATTAAGGGTGTTTATTTGCTGAAATTTGTATTCAAATCTATTTTATTTATATTGTGCAATGTATATTTGTAAAGTCTTTATGCAGAGTATATATATTGAAATGGGGAAAAACAATTAATGGTTGTATGAATGCTGTAATGTTTAACTAATTTACCATTTAAAACACGTGAAGGTCACGTGACCATCAGGAAGAACGCAGCATCTCATTTCTCACAGGACGCGTTCTCTGTTCTCATGGTCTCCCGAGTTCATTCTTCCGAGGACACCTGGCAAGACCGGTCTCAACAAGAAGTCCGTTCTCTGCGTTCTTGGAATTGAGAAACAGCCATGGTCAAGACAATCTGCTGCAGTTCAAACCGAGCTTCAGAATGGGGAAGAAAGGGGATTTAAGTGACTTTGAACGAGGCATGGTTGTTGGTGCCAGATGGGATGGTCTGAGTATTTCAGAAACTGCTGATCTATTGGGATTTTCAATTATAACAATCTCTAGGGTTTACAGAGAATAGTCTGAAAGAGAGAAAATCCAGTGAGCGGCAGTTCTGTGGGTGCAAATGCCTTGTTGATTCCAGAAGTCAGAGGAGAATGGCCAGACTGGTTCAGCTGATAGAAAGGCAACAGAAACTCAAATAAGCACTCGTTACAACTGAGGTCTGCAGAAGAGCATCTCTGGACACACAACACATCCAACATTGAGGCAGATGGGCTTTAGCCGAAGATGACCACACCTGGTGCCACTCCTGTCAGCTAAGAACAGGAAACTGAGGCTACAATTGGCACAGGCTCACCAAAATTGGACAATAGAAGATTGGAAAAGCGTTGCCTGGTCTGAGGAGTCTCGATTTTTGCTGCGATATTCGGATGGTCGGGTCAGAATTTGGCATCAGCAACATGAAAGCATGGGGTGGAACGGGAGATTCACATCATGGAAGTGGAGCTGACAAATCTGCAGCAACTGCGTGATGCTATCATGTCTATGTGGACCAAAATCTCTGAGGAATATTTCTAGTATCTTGAAGAAGGCAAAAGGGGGTCCAACCCGGTACTAGTAAGGTGTACCTAAAAAAGTGGCCGGTGAGGGTAGTTGTTTTCTGGTTAGATGTGATATTAAGTTCATCAATTTTTGACTTGTTCTCCTAAATAATGAGCATGCGATGCACGCACTTTATGCAACTTCAGTTTGCATGGCCCTTTGTCACCCCGCTGGTTCCCTAACATTTTCATTTTTATGTCTTTTACAGTAAAACAATACTATACCATTTTATAAGCATTTTAGATTATTGATCATTTGATGAGATTCTTGATTTTTTGTGTCTGTTTTTATTAAAGAGCACACTTAATCAGAGCATCAGACTTCTGGAAAGGACGTCCTCAGATCTGCCTGTAAGCTGCTCATTTTAAAGTCCCCGGTATACTTCAAACGAAAACGAAGAACCAACATTTTCCCTTGTTTTAAAGGCAAAAAGAAATTCTAAAAGGCTGAATAAAGGTATATTGTTTTTGAACATTCAGACACTCCTGTGCTGCAGGAGGCAGAGTTGTACATTGCTATTGTGTACATATAATTGCTATTGCTATTGAGCACATATAATTGTCTCAAACAAACAATTCAGACAGCATACACTAACTAAAATTCATGAAAAACAGCAAAAATGCAAAAAAAATGCATCCACAGCCATATCACCCTGCAGCCCAAGACCGGTTACTCAATGAAGCTAAGCAGGGCTGAGCCTGGTCAGTACCTGGATGGGAGACCACTAGGGAACACTAGGTTGCTGTTGGAAGTGGTGTTAGTGAGGCCAGCAGGGGGCGCTCAACCTGTGGTCTGCGTGAGTCCTAATGCCCCAGTAAAAGTGTAGGGGACACTACACTGTCCGTGGGCGCCGTCTTTTGGATGAGACGTTAAACCGAGGTCCTGACTCTCTGTGGTCATTAAAAATCCCATGGCACTTTCCGTGAAAGAGCAGGGGTGTAACCCTGGTGTCCTGGCCAAAGTCCCTCTATCGGCCCTACGATCATGGCCTCCCAATCATCCCCATCCACCGAATTGGCTCCATCACTGTCTCTCTACTCCACCAATAGCTGGTGTGTGGTGAGCGCACTGGCGCTGTTGTCCTGTGGCAGCCATCGCATCATCCAAGTGGATGCTGCACACTGGTGGTGGTGTGGAGAGACCCCCCCTTCATGATTGTGAAGCGCTTTGGGTGTATGGCCATACACAATAAATGCGCTATATAAATACACATTACATTACATTTACATTACATTACAAAAATCTGCGCATGAAAATGATGGCAAATGTGAATGGCCCTTGAAATGTGAATGGCCCCCTCTTTATTCTGGAATTACCACTCTAAATGAATATGCTTGCATAAAGTAAGTCGTATATCAAAGCTTTTACTAGGGGATAGTTGATTTTTACTATGGCACATTTTCTTCCCCACCGTCTCCCCCGTGCCGCGCCCAACAAGATGCCACCCTGGGTGATCGCCCATATTGCCTATGCCTAAGGCCGTACTCACACTAGGTACAGTTGCCTCGAACCGGGCCAAAGCACGCTTGTCCCCCCTCCCGTCTCCCCCGACGGCCCGCGCTCACACCACAAACGGGCTTCGGCACGCTTACGTCATCGCTGCTGGGCTGTTCAGTGAGAAGCGCTCTCTCACTCAGCAGCACAGTGGAGATTTCTCTAGTTATATCGTTTCAGTCGTTTGATATGCCGTCAAATATTTCGCCAAACAGTCCTTAGGGATGCGGTGACACGCAGTCAGATATTTTGCCTTACAGATCCGCCACTTTTGGCGCTCATAAACAATCATAAAGCTCTCGTGCTGCAGGAATGAGGAGGTCTGCTGAAGGCGCGCAGCTGTCGTGAAGTGAGGGGTTTGCGTCTTTAATAAACGACGGCAGTTTGCGTTCACTGAACAGTAAGAATGATTAATAAATCTATATGAAACAGTCCCTTAAAATTCACGTCTCGCTTTCAGTTTCGGGCTTTGGCGCTCACACACAAGCGTACTGCACCAAAGCCTAAGTGAACCGGGCCAGGGCCGGCCAAGTGAACCGTGCTTGAGCCCGATTCAGCGCACTCACACTTCTCAAACGATCCGGGAAACGGGTCTGGGCACGGTACAGATGGCATAGTGTGAGTAGGCCTTAAATCAGCCACTGGGTGCACTCCTAAACACAACAACAATGGCAGCTGTGAGAGAGGGAAAGTTCTAGAAACATCTGCTTTGCTCTGTATAAACCAGCTCTCCAGATTCTCCAGTTTGTTGATGAGAAACACACCCACCGATTGCAAAAACACAACTGACCAATGGTAGCTCAGAGGTGTTTTAGAGTCAAAATACAAAATACAATCCCTCTAAAAATTTGTTGAGCGGTTTCGAACTGCCGAAACAAATCCAAAAAGAAATTCGTTTTAGACAGATTTTGTTCAAAATGACGTCATTTCAGTTCGTTTTTCGATTTTGTTGGAAGTATAACGGGGTCTTAAATCAGCCATCACTTTTACAAATATGAACTTCAGAACATGCTTTCTGATCAGATGCATTGCTTTTCAGCTCCGAGTTGAAGATGTTCTTAAAGCCGTTGATGATGCCCAGAACCTGATTTCCTACAATGCAACATTTGTGATCAATCAGGTAATGTGAGCAAAAGCCTGAATGATTTGTGGATGTATGCATTGTGCTGATGGTTAATATATGGTCCAACAGGAAACTGAGAAATACAAGCAGAACATCATTGGCTATTTTAAGCAGTACATAGACTGGATCAGGACATCTGTGAGTGTTGCTTATTTACAATTCATATCTGTGTTAATGTTGAATTGGTTCTGCGTAGGTTTGTAATCTCTTTGTTTGTCTCCTATAGCTGGCTCTGGAGGTCGCCACCTGTAAACCACTCAGCAACATTGTGGACACGGTGGAGATCCTGGGCTGCGGTTTCTTGCTGGATTCAATGGTGAGAGATCCATCAGTACTGGAGTATTAGGGAAAACACTGGAGCTGTGCTGAAAGGCATAGTTCATTCAGAAATTACTATCTTATTATATTTCCACATCCTCAAGTGCTTCTGACACTGACAAAATATTTAATATTTTAATACAAAAATATTATTGAGACAAAATGTTTAATATTATAATACAAAAATATTATCGTGACAAAATATTTAATATTTTAATACAAAAATATTATCGGTACAAAATATTTAATATTTTAATACAGAAATATTATTGAGAAAAAATATCTAATATTTTAATACAAAAATATTATCAGTAAAATGTATTTAATATTTTAATACAAAAATATTATCGAGACAAAAAAAGTAATATTTTAATACAAAAATATTATTGAAACAAAATATTTAATCGTTTAATACAAAAATATTATCGAGACAAAATATTTAATATTTTGTCTCGCCAACTTCATTTCATTTGTAAAAATACATCCTTTCCTGTCATTCAGACCTGCAAAACATTGCAAAAAAAGTTGGGACAGGAGCAGTTTAGGGCCAGTAATCAGGTAAATTACTTAAATAATGATGTGATTTGAAACAGGTGATGTCAACAGTTCATAGTAATTATGATTTGGTACAAAAGCAGCATCCAAGAAAGGTCTAGGCCTTTAGGAGCAAAGATGGGCTGAGGATCGCCAGTTTGCCAACTAATACGTGAGAAAAATATTGATATGTTTAAAAACAATGTTCCTCAAAGAAAGATAGGAAGACATATGGATACTTCCCCTTCAACAGTGCAGAACATAATTAAAAGATTCAAGGAATCTGGAGGAATTTCAGTGAGTAAATGACAAGGGCACAAACTAGAGCTGCACGATTCTGGCTAAAATAAGAAACGCGATTATTTGCTTAAAATAAAGATCACGATTTTCTCACGATTCTGTAGATACAAAATGAAGGTATGGTAAAAACAAACATATGGCAAAACATCAATAATAATATTATGTTTAGGTCTACTGGTTTCTATAAATAGTTCTATTCTACTTATAATAATTCTGACGTTGAATTATTATGTTTGAGACATGAATCTGTCATTGTCAACATTATAAGACAATTTTATTCACTGGTAAAATCAGACTTTTGTCATTATTAGATTATATTTAACAATATATAGGCTAGAGTTGGTATACTGACACTATAAACATTTATTTTCATGCACAACTGTGTGTTCGCTATGAAAGAAAAAACATATCAAACGCTTGTCGTAATCCTAACTCTAAAATGTGATATGATCATTTAAATGAAGTGCACACTTTTGGTTTCATTTTCACTGCTAAGTGCTGGTCATACTTCGCGCGCGGCTCCCAAACGATCCACAAACTGAATATTATTTACAACTCTATTACCTGTTACAGCATATGCAGGTTCTGTTCACAAAAGTAGGCACGCGTGCGTCTATCATTAAGTAGGGCACGCTTCCTCCCTCTCTGTGATAACAGCTCACAGTCAGCAGCTGCTTACATCACGTATGATTTCCCGGCTGCGAAAACATCGTTATATGAAGACAAAAATTACGTTTTTAGGTGAATTATACCTTATAAATTCAGTATGCGACTCTTTTAACATCATTTGGAGGTGTCCATGTCACTGAGCAATGTGTGTGAAACAATGAAAAGACTCGCGCAGCCGCCTTTGCTTCTCTCATGAACTTGAAAATATGATTGACAGAATCGTAGAAATGCTGGATTAAGATCGTCTAGGGGGTTGACTCGAGATCGCGACCTTTATTCGATTAATTGTGCAGCTCTAGCGCAAACCTAAGCTGAGCAACTGTGATCTCCGATCCCTCAGGCGGCACTGCATCAAGAATCCTCATTCATCTATAAGCCATATCAGTATACTGGGCCAGGACTACTTTGGCAAACCTTTGTCAAGTACCACAATATGTAGTTGCATCCACAAATGCCATTGAAAATGGTACAGTGCTAAAAGGAAGCCCAATGTTAACAGTGCATAGTGAAAAGTACATAGAGATTTTAGAGCACAACATGCTGCTGTCTTTTCCAGGGACACCCATGCATATTTCAGCATGACAATGCAAAACCACATTTCACACACATTACAAAGTCCTGGCTGCAGAGGAGGAGGATACGGGTACTTGACTGGCCTGTCCGCACTCCTGACCTGTCTCTAATTGAGAATGTGTGGTGCATTTTGAAGTGGAAATTCGACAACGAAGTTCAAGCAATCAATCAGTGTTTCTGCAGACTCTTTTTATGATATTTGAATATACAAAAAATATAATAAATTTTTACCATTAGAAGCTGTGTATATTCACAGACAACTGTGTTTAACTAATTTTAAAAGGGATTTTTGCATACAAGGTCCTCCTTAACACGTGCTGCAGTCGCTGTAGGCCGGGCTTTTGCATGCGTGTGGTCAAAGCCTCAGGGACAGCCATAAGGAAGGAAACAGGTGGAAGGTTTTATCTGAAATTATGGGCGAGTGTGTGGGATTTGCAGGAGGTCGTTGTGTTTGACCTCATCACAAGACTCAAATGAGGCCCTGTGTGTTTAACCCTGCCCTCTGTGCGCCGCTGCACATGTACACATGCCACAGAAGCAATTACAGTCTATGATTAGCATCAGTTTAACCAAAATTATACATTTTTTTTTACACACAAAGATATACATTAGCTTGGCTGTCTAAAGAAGTCTCTAGACTTGTATAGTTTTATACACATCTTATTATAAACTTAATTTGAGAGAAAATTCTCAATTGTAAGTCTCAAAAGGGTCTATTAAATGACTAAATGTAAACAAACATTTCATACAGTTTTTACTAAGAAGGCTTTTTCAGTTTTAGCTTACCTCTGGGTACGAATTAGCCCCAATCTTTGAGTAGGTACACACACACACACACACACACACACACACACACACACACAAGGCTGTACGTAATTAGTAAGGACAGGAAGCGTTACGGTAATTAACTAGTTGTGCTAATTACCAGCTAGCTGCTTTTTCCCCGGGCACTCAGAGTTTGACCCTACTATAATTGTCCGACTGCAGCAGAAAGAACATGAGGTCCACGTATTCAGCCTCACACATGTGGGGTGTTGTTGTTGTTGTTGTTTTTCTTTGGTTGTTTGTTTTTCAGTTTTGCATTTTTTTACTCTGACTTTATTTTATATCACATTTTACCCATTTTTATGATTTTTATTTTATTTTTTACTTATTTTTATGTAAAGCACTTTCAATTGCCACTGTGTATGAAATGCGCTATATAAATAAACTTGCCTTGACTCTTGTGTAATAATAATGAGCAATTATTTCGTTAACAGCTGTAATTTAACATTATTGAATGTTATAGTTTTATTGAAAGTTTAAATATATATATTCATAATTAATAAATGTTGGTTTGCTGTTGTTTTTATTTTTATAGTTATATTTTTATGATCTGTTTTGAACATAAAGGTAAACTATGTGAAATTGTGAATTTTCCTTGGCAACTAGATGAATTTTTATATAATTATTATAATTTTTATTATTATTGATTTTTATTATTATGATTGTTTTTATTAACATATTATTGATAAATTTTTAATTAAATCATAATTTAATTATAAATTACGTTTAATATATTTTTTTTTCATTATTTAATTAAATGCTTTTTTTGTAAAAATGGTAAGTTTAGTTTACAACACATAGTTAATGTTAGTTAATGTATTTACTAACATGAACAAACGATGTTTATCTAGGTTAATCATTAATTAACATTAACTAAATTACAACCCCAAATCAGAAAAAGTTAGGACAGAATGGAAACGTAAATAAAAAAGAATGTCGCGATTTCTAAATTTACTTTGACTTGTATTGTGCAAGTTAATTTTGCCAAGGGCACTGACACAATCCCATTCCATGATAGACCCTGGCATTTGGACTGGTTTATTGGTAACAGCCTGGATGATCCTTTTCTTCTTTAGTCCGGAGCAAAAAACATCCATTTCTCCCAAAAAATGCCTGAAATACTGAACTATCTGACCACAGTACAAGTTTCCACTATGTGATGGTCCATCCCAGATGCCTCTGAGCCCAGAGAAGTCAACGCCGCATCTGGACACTGTTAACATAGGGCTCCCTTGTTGTACAGTTGTCACTGGCATTTGTGAATGTAACTACATTTGTGGATGTAACTCCTTTGAGGAACATTAAGTTTAAACATTTTAATCATTTCCTCGTGTATTTGTTGGCAAACTGGCGATTCTCAGCCCATCTTTGCACCTAAAGAACTGGACCGTTCGTGTATGCTACTACCAAATTACAATCACCTGTTGACATCACCTGGTTCAAATCACATCATTATTCAAGTAATTTACCTGATTACTGGTCCTAAACTGCTTCTGTCCCAACTTTTTTTTTTGGAATGTGTTGCAGGTCTGAACAAGAGGAAAGGATGTATATTTACAAATGAAATGAAGTTGACCAGAGAAAACAATAAATATTTTGTGTTCATATTGTCTGCAAAGAAATACAAGTCTAATTTGGAAATCACTACTTTTTTCTATACTGTTCAAACCATTTCTGATTTGAGTTGTAGTGCTTTTTAATTAATTAAAAATATTGTACCAATAATATCCCTGATTGTTGGAGCCAACTTTAATTTAAATACAAAGCCTCCCATGCTGAAACAATTCTGTATTTTGAAAAATGTTCTTTGTCAGATCAAATAAGTAACCGGACAGCATGTTCATCAAGCGTGCCGTTTATGGTCGAGCTTTGTGCAGTTTTTGTGTGGCTTGAAGTAATCTTGTGTTTATTTGTTGCAGAACACTTTCTGGTTTGGACTGGGCTGCTGCACACTCTTTCTGCTCCCTAGCATTATCCTGTCTGTCAAGCTCGCCAAGTTTTACCGCAGAATGGACACAGAGGATGTTTATGACGAGTAAGTGTCTCAAATACATGAAGTTTGCCATTTCTAATTAGCACCTGTCTAATTGTCCAATTAGATGAGATGACCAGAGCTAAAAGCCTGTTCACGCCAAGAATGATAACTGTTAGTAGTGCTTGTTTTTTTTGTGTGTGTATGAAATGAAAGCATAATTGAGCTCAAAGGAAATTTCACAATAAGTCCCTTTGTTTATGAGTGCTTTATGTAAGATTTTGACTTCTCTAAATCATAAAAATGCCATAATATGTTTTTAGATATTTAAGGAACTCACTAAGTGAACATAATTGTTTATCTGAAAAAACAATGCTAAAGTCAGATTGCTTTTGAAAATGTGTTAGGTGTTGGAATGTTTGTGTTTGTTTTGGTCTCTATAACCAGCTCACTGCCAGTTTACCCAATTATGTTTCAGCAGTCTGGGTTGCCTTGGCAGAACACACAGCGGCTGCTTTAGTGTATGCGGGCACGGATGAAAATTGTGATCCGAGTTATAAAACTCCACATGAGATGATTTTTATTTAGCAAATAATTCAAATATTACAAACGTAAACATTAGCTGAGCAGCTTATAGTGAAAGACAGTTTTACAGTGAGTACTGACTGTTTTAATGCCATGCATATATGCGTGCATCCATCCATTCATGCATCCATCCATCCACCCATCCATGAATCTATCCATCCTTGCGTTCATGCATCTATCCACCCACCCATCCATGTATCCAACCATCCATGCATCCATCCATCATCCACCCATCCATGAATCTATCCATCCTTGCATTCATGCATCTATCCACCTACCCATCCATGCATCCAACCCTCCATCCATCCATCCATCCATCCATCCATCCACCCACCTACCTACCCATACAGCTATCCATCCCTGCATCCCTTCATGCTTCCAACTATCCATGCATCCAATCACCTATGCATCCATCCATGCATCCATCAATCCATCCAGCCATCCATACATCCATGCATTCATTAATCCATGCTTGCATCCATCCACCCATCAATCCATCTATCCTTGCATCTATCCTTTTACCCATCCATCCATCTTTTCACCCATCCATCCATGCATCCTACTATATGTGCATCCATCTATCCAACCATACATCCATCCATGCATCTAACATCCATGCATCTAACTATCCATCCATCCATGTATCCAACCATCCATCTAATCATCTATCCACCCACCCATCCATGCATCTATCCATCCAAGCATCCATGCATCCAACTATCCATCCATCTATCCCTCCATGAATCCATCCATGTATGCGTCAATTCATCCATCCATCCATCCATAAATCGATCCATCCTGCATTCATGCATCCATCCACCCACTCATCCATGCATCCATCAGTCCATCTATCTATCCCTGCATCCATCCATGCATCCAACCATCCATCTATGCATCCAGCCACCCATCCATGCATCTATCCATCCTTCCATCCATGCATCCAAACATCCTTGCATCCAGCAATTTATCCATCTATCCATCCATGAATCCATCCATCCTTTTATCCATCCATCCATGTATGCGTCAATCCATCCATGAATCCATCCACCCACCCATGCATCTATCCATCCATGCATTCAACCACCCATCTATGCATCCATCCATCCACCCATCCGTCCATATATCTATCCCTGCATCCATCCATGCATCCAACCATCCATCTATGCATCCATCCATCCATGCATCTATCCATCTATCCATCCATGCATTCAACCACCCATCTATGCATCCATCCACCCACCCACCCATCCATGCATCTATCCCTCCATGAATCCATCCATCCTTTCATCCATCCATGTATGCGTCAATTCATCCATCCATCCATCCATAAATCGATCCATCCTGCATTCATGCATCCATCCACTCACTCATCCATGCATCCAACCATCCATCTATGCATCCACCCACCCATTCTTCCATCCATGCATCCAAACATCCATGCATCCAGCCATTTATTCATCTATCCATCCATGAATCCATCCATCCGTCCATGCATGCGTCAATCCATCCATGAATCCATCCACCCACCCATCCATCTATGCATCCATCCACCCACCCACCCATCCTTGCATCCATCCATCCATGCATCCAACAATCCATTTATCTATCCATCCATGAATCCATCCATCCTTGCATCCATCCATCCATCAACGTAGTATTAGATAAAAGTCCAAAATTGAGAGATATCAATATCACACTCTCTAAAGAAAAATAACTACGTCAATATTAATGTTCTGTCCACCACAATTTTAAATACTCATACTATCTACTATAGACTAATCCAAATTCTCTTTATAATAGTTCTTGGCATAAACAGGCTTTAACTATTAAATGATGAATATGCATTAATATGTCAAAGTGCAAACACCTCATCCTTTTCTTTAGCCACAGAACAGTGACTAAATCTCTTGATCTTTCTCTGTGCTCTTTTTTTTCTATTTCCTTTCTCCGTTCCTTCCAGTTCCTCCGTCTCAGGGACTTGGCATTTCACGTTATGATAACCATTCCTACTATTTCCATCTCCATTCATCGTCTTTCTGTCCAGCACTTTGCACTTTATGAGAACTACATGTGTGTATGTGTGTGTGTGTGTATATTGTACAAACAATGTTTTGTTTTAGCGTCTTCCATGCGTTTACATTCGAAAATCATTGCGATTGACAAGTCACCAAGTGTCTTGACCAGAGGCATCATGTCTGACATGATGACTCTGAACATCATTACAGTGCATTTCTCTGTAACATTTTTGCTTGTCTTGTATCTTTTTAGCATTGAGACATTTCCCATGAAAACGTAAGCCGTTTTTTTCCCCTTTTGCTATCCTCTTTACTGCTGAAATGACATCCCTTTCCTGTTTTGTACATAAATCTTCTGCTCATTGGTGCTGGTTTCAGCTCTAAGCCTTGAAATGCTTCTCGGTGGAGGGCGCTGCTTTTGTGTTGATGTGTTATCTTTCAAGCTCCCTTGTTTAACATGAAGGGCTGTTAAAACAGAGACCTTTAGAGCACAATTCCAGACTATCGTTGTACATTTTACAAGATAACAATTACAATTTATACTGTTTCATAATGCACAATCATGTGTGTGTGTGTTTTTTTTTAAGACAAAAGAAGCTTGTTTATAGTCTGTCGCATGCCATTTCTCATGTCACATCACGTCTTGTTTGATTTTTGTTTCTGTAATGTTGTTTCAGTATGGAAATTGGTTATAATGGTTATTATAATGAACTTTTAGAAGGTATCCAAAGCCATGTAATGGAAAGGTAATCGGAGATTAGTATATCCCTGTGTGTCTTAGGCTAAAAAACTGCATGCATTGGGGAAACAGATGAATTGAGATAATAATGTGGCGTCAGGACTTCAATGCATGCTTGGTTTGAAGCTGCTCTTGTTATAAACAAGTATGGAAACCCGTTTCTGCCATAGGATTAAAAAGAATGTAATTATGACTTTTTAATCTTACAAATTCTCAATTGTTTTTGCTTGGAATTTGAGCTGTAAGCCTGCTTTTAGTTTGGAACGAAATTCTAAGTTTATATCAAGTCATATTTACTTTTTACATTGTTTTTACTCTGTGGCAGTGGAAAGTTTCCATTAACAAGCGTCTGAGAGTCAATCTAACTCAATGGGCTATATGCACAGCAAGTGTTTTTCAACCACCGATAAACTTCAGGTGAAATGTTTATAAAACTGCTGACAAATTTATAAGGTTTCTTTTACAACATTGATAATGTCATTTAATTAAAATATAGTCTGTTAAATAGACTTTTGCATTCATTTATAGGGTTGGGTACCGAAATCCGGTGCCATTATGAAATGTGCACGTTTGGTGTGTGATACTATCAGCTGTCATGTGCGCGCCGTGCCGCGGCTCTGAGCGGCGCATCCGCTGTGTGACGCCCTTAAGAAGCATCAAGGTGTGCATCAAAGGCACACATAAGTCTGCGTTGTGTCACACCATCTTTAAATGTTTATTTCTAAACAGCTTTGAGGGATACGGATGTTAGCAATGTCAGGCGTTTGTTATTTTTGCTTATAGAAGGCAAGACGCGCAGTATGACGCATGCAGTGAGCGACTTAATTCATCAACACGCATGATCACGTTCATCTAATTTGCTTAAACTAAGCATTATAAAGTATGGCTATATTTTACAAGCAAGGATTCTGACACACCAACATGCAGCAGATGCTTTACAAAAGTTGCACGTAGGGGGGAAACACGTCAAACTTATGAAATGTGTGTGCTCATGGAATCAACCTAAAGGTGAGGAATGGACTGTCTTTGACAGCTTGTGACATTATCTAGCACTTTCAGTGAGTATGTTTACATAGACACCAATGCTTTGATTTTAATATGATTAAGACAATACTCTGATCAAGAGTATACAGTGATTTTTGATTATATTAAAGAACCACAGACACTAAATGCATAAAATGCAAAAATTGCAAAAATTAGGTTGGTGACGCAATGATGTTACTGATCTGTGTGCAATAACATGTAACTGGGAAAGCAGGAATGTAACATTCAAAAAGCAACTCATGCACAGACCTGAATCATATTATTGTCTTATATAGATTAATAATTTAATCTATTCATCCTATATAGGCAAATTATTAGATCACTGATGTCCATGTAAAAGTAGTCACAAGCCCCAAACCCAGTTAAAAAGGTGTTCATTGATTTTGATGACAGCCTTTCCACAGATTAGTAGTAAGCTAATGTAATTTTAATAGCATAATGCAAATCTTGCATTCATGCTAACAAACAAATGATCAAAAGAAATATAATAATGCAATTCAAATAAATAAAATATGAATTGATGTTTACTTTAAACTTATTATATATATATATATATATATATATATATATATATATATATATATATATATATATATATATATATATATATTATTTTTATTTTTATTTTCAATTATAATGATTAAAAAATATATACATTATTTTTATTTATTTTATGTTTTTTTTTTTTTTTATTAATTTAGTGGCTAAAAAGTATCGGTTCAGGCACCGTTTTAAAAGTATTGATTTAGCACCAGTAAAAAAAACGATACCCAACCCTATTCATTTAGTTGTTCGAGTATAAATGTCGTTGCACACTAAAGTTTAAAATGTACGTATGTGTGTGGATTTTTTTTTTCTTCTTTTTTCGAATACGAGTGCGAGTCCGAGTCGAATGCGTATTAATCTATTACAAAAAAAGCGCAAATAATTTTGGAGTGAATTTTAGCAGTGTTGCTTTGTTCTCCTCTTTCTTTTTTTAAAAAGAAAGAGGAATAATATTGTTTTCATCCAATCCACTGCATGGAAAGGAAGGAAAGTTCTTATCAAAGATCTGTGTGGGATTATTCTGAAAAGCAGCATTTGTTTCACACTTTGCTTGATATTTAAAATTGCGGCAGTGTTAAATAGGCGTATTGAGGTATGTAGCAAAGTATTTGCATCTTATGTTTTATTGATAACGTCACTAGCAACTAGTCGACTCCACTTTGATAATATAAAAGTTGACTTTCAAAAATCTAAAATTGTTCAACCCCTAATGGACACATACTTGAAGTCAGAATTATTAGCCCCCCTTTTTTAAATATTTTTTCCAAATGATGTTTAACAGAGCAAGGAAATTTTCACAGTATGTCTGATAATATTTTTTCTTCAGGAAAAAGTCTTATTTGTTTTATTTCGGCTAGAATAAAAGCAGTTTTTTAATTTCTAAAAAGCTATTTTAAGGACAAAATTATGAGCCCCTTTAAGCTATATTTTTTCCCAATAGTCTACAGACCAAACAATCATTATACAATAACTTGCCTAATTACCCTAACCTGACTAGTTAACCTAATTAACCTATTTAAGCCTTTAAATGTCACTTTAAGCTGTATTGAAGTGTCTTTAAAAATATCTAGAAAAATATTGTTTACTGTCATCATGACAAAGATAAAATAAATCCATTATTAGAGATGAGTTATTAAAATTATTATGTTTAGAAATGTGTTGAAAAAAAATCATCTCTCTTTTAAACAGAAATTGTGGGAAAAAATAAACAGGGGGGCTAATAATTCTGACTTCAACTGTACATGGATGCACACAGAGACAGACACAAACACACAAACAGCAGCATGGAAAAGCTGTTTGTCTGCACCGACAAACAAATCAGATCTTAAACATGGTGAATTTATAATGCCGGAACAGTACACTGGAAGAGCTGAGCTGTCTTATTCAAAATTAAAAGTCCCCGTGTATATAGCCCATTGCAGAATTTGTGTTGTGTACTCACTTTTGCCTGTTTTATATTGCATGAATTGATATTAACACAGCACGTGATATTGCAGGACTTTCTCACTGCATGATGCATCTATTCCTTTTTCTTTTGCAATGCTTCACACAGCATGTCATCGTGTGTGAAATCTCTCTGGGCTGCTATGGCTGTAAATGGTCTTTCTCTCGAGCTCATCTCTAATGCTTGTGTTTCAGCAATAAAACATGTAACAGAGGTCAGGACGGTGGGCTAGAATGACACACAGCTCATGCACGTTCAAACACTGTTCAAAAAGTTTTTTTTTTTTTCAGTAAACAAGTATTTGTGGACGGCATTTATTTGTTTAAAAAGCTTTGACGTTGCGACATAATGCAATAATTTAAAGCCAAGTTCTCTATTTGAATATATTTTATATAAATGCGTAGAATTTTTTGAAAAATATATTTTATATAAACAGCCACGCAAACAGCAACGCAAAACAGGCATCGCAACGGCACACGCAACAACCATCACACCAACGTAATAATAGGCTCCATACAAAACAGGTATTCAACCCACAAATTGCTGCATTGTTTGTCATGCTTTAAGTTTACATAAAGTTTTCCTTATAACATCTTGGGCTCAGTGTGTCTGTCTAAAGCAGGGGTCGGCAACCCAAAATGTTGAAAGAGCCATATTGGACCAAAAAAAAACAAAAAACAAATATGTTTGGAGCCGCAAAAAATGTAAATCCTTATATAAACCTTATAATGAAGGAAACACATGCTGTATCTATAGTAGCTATATTAGCCTACTATAAAAATGACTAAGTTGGCTACAAATACATAATGAGCCTTCATGATTAAATAGCCACTGATATCTGGTGGTTGGTGTTTATTTCGTTGTCATTTAAACAATTCAGCACAGCCTCTGGTCTTTCAGTGATATTAATTTGATCACTTCTTCTTGCAGCCCATCAGAGTTCAATTACCTGCATAAAAGCGCATTGAATATCGGTCACATCACAGGCAATTGAGTATGCTGGCACTGAATTAATGTCCTTGGTTTGCTGATCGGTGATGTTACCTGCCATTTTAATAGCCCTTTCCTTCACTGTCTTAGCGGAGAGAGGTATATCTTTAATTTTTTGAATTATCTTGGTTTTGTTTTTGAAGTCTGCAAATAGGTGTTCTAATATGTTGATGAATGACTCCTTCATGTAGTCGCCATCTGTGAACGGTTTTCCATGCTTTATTATCTCCCGGTTTGTTTACAACAGCCACCTGCCCGGCATCCCGCCCTGCTGATAGAAACGTGTGTCGCAGGCTATGACGCAAATCTTCGTTGACAGAAATGTTGAAATTAAATATTAATTCTACACACTTTTACAGCATTTGAAAACGTTAAAAATGTTTGTCCTCCTATAGAAATCATATTAAAACAAAAATATATACTAACCTTCCTTAACTTTTTGAACATTTTTGAAAAAACTTCAGGGAGCCACAAGGGCAGCGCTAAAGAGCCGCGGGTTGCTGACCCCTGGTCTAAAGCTACCAGCGCGTCACAAATTCAAAGGACCCTCACTGCCTCTCTAGCGACTGAAAGGAGGCATCAGGAAGTCGCAATAGTTGGTTGGCACCTTTTAAACTAACCAAGTTTGTCGACGCCATTATAACGACACAGATAGCTCGGCGTATTCATGCATAAAAAGTGAATGACAGGTGGTAATTTGTGTGTAACTTATGGGTAAAACAAACACCTTGCAGGTCAGGTAGTTGAAACGGTAGGCCACAGATAATGAATTCGTTATGAACTTATTAATTATTCATAAATAATTAATTCACTACTCCCTACGACAACGATGCCATCGTCCATCGTATGTTTCACATTAGACATTGTACGATGCCAAATTGGTCATTTTGAGCTAAATTCACTTACAGCACCTTTATTGTGTAATAATGCTACATGTGTCATTCTCAAAGCCCCGTCCTGCTCCTCTGTAGGAATGATGTGCTATAGATGATGGAGAGATGACAGAGGTCAACCTACTGTAAGAATGTGTGTGTGCGTTTGCATTTGTACACTGTTGGTCTGACAGTTTTCCCTTTGTGCCTCAAGCATCCCTACCTATGACACTATGACCCGCTTCCCACGGGCCTCTGCGCCCCCGCGCCACGCCGACTGGTGACTCTCAGGACCACCATCTGCTTTTAACTACTGAAAGGTACCAAGAGCTGAAGATGAGCGCAAGCGGGTTTGATTCTCTCTAACCAGCATCCTCCCATTCAACTGAACACATCTGTGTGTGTTTTAACATTCCCCATCCTCCATATTAACACAAACCTCATTTTGATTGAGCTTTTCTGTCACTGCACCAACAGCATGCTTGGTTTTTGCATCTTCCACTTGGATAACAGCTGACGATTCTGCAAAGCTTTGTGTGAATTTATTTGTTTTTTAGGGTCCATTACTAACCACTGGCCCATATCCTTCCAATGTTTGACTTCAAACATTCCTGACAGCTCTGCAAACAGATAGATGCCAGCGCTCGCTGTGTGTTTTGTTTCTTTACCTTGGTCTAAAACTCTCATCTCCCATCTCACATCTCCTCATCCGAGTCTCTCTTTGCCGTTTATTGTGCATTTTGAAGCAGCGCAGCAGGTTTAATTCTGCAATGTTTGTTTCTTTACTCACGCAGCGATATTGGACACTGGAATTGAATCTTTGTGGAATGTAAGTTGCTTCAATTGGCCTTGTTTTACTTTAAAGTAGTGCTTCTCAAACCTGTGTACTCCACAAACCCTGTGATTTGATATATTATTGATTTGCAAAAATACATATAAAATGCATAACCATGATCTTTATAACAGGAAAATATAATTGTTGTTTTAATTAGGGCTGTATATGTTTTGATATTGGCAATAACCATCATATTTGAAACAGTTCAAGTTCACTTCAAGCCTCCTTTGATCATTCATTTATTTTCCTTTCGACTTAGCACTTTTATTAATTTGGGGTTGCCACAGCGGAATGAACCGCCAACTTATCCAGCACATGTTTTATGCAGTGGATGGCCTTCTAGCTGCAACCCATCACTGGGAAACACCCATACACACTCATTCACACACATACACTACGCCCAATTTAGCCTATCAATTCACCTATACCACATGTCTTTGGACATGTGGGGGAAACCGGAACACCCGGAGGAAACCCACGCGATCATGGGGAGAACATGCAAACTCCACACAGAAATGCCAAATAACCCAGCCGAGGCTTGAACCAGCAATCTTTTTGGTGTGAGGCAAACGTACTTCCCTTTGCGCCAACCGTGCAGCCTTTCAATTGACTTCAGTTATTACCAATTGCAGCAATTACCAGTTGCAGCTATGGCTGTTAATAAATTTCCACCTTTTATTTCTTTTATCTTTGCAAGCAGGTAGTATGTAAACTGATCTGTCATGTGACAATGAAACATTTTAATCAAATTTTAATCTGTTTTGTTAATTTAAAGATTGAATTTATTTCCCCAAAGCCAACAGCAACACTTTTTAGAGCTTCTAGAAATGAGAGAAAAATGACAGTGCCACAATTGTGTCCAGTTTGATTTAAATAAACAATAAACTGTCGCTTATATGGGCTTAGACACTCACCGGCCACTTTATTAGGTACACCTTACTAGTACCGGGTTGGACCCCACTTTGCCCTCAGAACTGCCTTAATCCTTCTTGCCAGAGATTCAACAAGCTACTGGAAATATTCCTCAGAGATTTTGCTCCATATTGACATGATAGCACCATGCTGTTGCTGCAGATTTGTTGGCTGCACAACCATGATGGGAATCTCCCGTTCCACCACATCCCAAAGCTGCTCCCAAAGATGATTGAGATCTGGTGACTGTGGAGGCCATTTGAGTACAGTGAACTTATTGTCATGTTCAAGAAACCAGTCTGAGAAGATTCAAGCTTTATGACATGGTGTGTTATCCTGCTGGAAGAAGCCATCAGAAGATGGGTACACTGTGGTCATAAAGGGATGGACATGGTCAGCAACAATACTCAGGTAGGCTGTGGCGTTGACACAATGCTCAATTAGTACTAATGAGCCCAAAGTGTGCCATGAAAATATCCCCAACACAAATACACCACCACCACAAGCCTGAACCATTGATAAAGGCAGGATGGATCCATGCTTTCATGTTGTTGATGTCAAGTTCTGACCTGACCATCCAAATGTCGCAGCAGAAATCGAGACTCATCAGACCAGGCAACGTTTTTCCAATCTTCTATTGTCTGATTTTGGTGAGCCTGTGTGAATTGTAGCCTCAGGTTTTCCGCCTTAGCTGACAGGAGTGGCACTCGGTGTGGTCTTCTGCTGCTGTAGCCCATCTGCCTCAATGTTGGATGTGTTGTGTGTTCAGAGATGCTCTTCTGCAGACCTCAGTTGTAACGAGTGCTTATTTGAATTACTGTTGCCTTTCTATCAGCTGGTACCCGTCTGGCCATTCTCCTCTGACTTCTGGCATCAACGTTGGCTGATTAGAAGTTTGCGTTAACAAGCAGTTGGATAGGTGTACCTAATAAAGTGGCCGGTGAGTGTATGTAGATCAAGCTAACTCATCTAGCTGAATTAAAAGCTGATAAAAATGTCCAAAAGAATTAAAGAACATAACTTTTGCCTCACTTGTGATAAGACACATTATTGCAAGTTTTAATGCTCTGCCTTCATGAGCTTGAACGGCTATACTGTAGCAATCTTTTTGGCTTATATGAGGCCCTAACATTGAACTTATTCAATAAAACATTGAACAAAATCAACGTCAAACAATGGTGAGGATGGATAAAAAGTTCTGCATCTTGAGACTCCTGGTTGAGAAGCACTGCATTAATTCGATAATAGCAATACAGTACTCATTGTACAAAACTAAAGCTGTGGATTTCTTCTGTTCACAGACTCTCCATGTTGAACAGCAGGCTCAGCTCAGACTGACGACATTAAGAAAAGGAAACTCACATACTTGAAGCTGGGACCTGTTGTCTGTGTTTCTCCATAACACCAATCGAGACTTTCTTTAAAATGTCTTGTTGTTTTTGACTGTTTTGCACGTTAATCATTATTAGTACTGTCCCTCAACGAGCTCTGACATCACTTCTTGTCACAGTCAGAGAGGCTTCACAGTATATGGCTGTTTAACTACTACATGTGTCTTTGTTTACAGTCGTTGAGAAATCACGTGTGACGGGCATAACAATGCTTCAACTGCTGCATTCTTGTGTATTTTTTCGTTCCTTTTTATAGTGCTTTTTAACATTGTGGAGAATTGAACACGTCCACGTCGAGTCCACTGAGAGGCCGAAGGGATTTTTATTGAAACAGAGCAAGCCAGCCACCCGTGAGCCGCAAATATTACACATAAACAACAGTGTAGATGGAAAACATAGCAGCTAGTGCTAGTTCAGTACTGACAAATGTTGTTAAGCCATTACAAGGGTGAATGCTTTGTTGCCTTTTTCAGATTTGTAGCTTGTGGTGCAAGTCGCAAGAGCAGGTGTTGGATTAATTTCACCTATAAATCACTAAAGTACATTTAACATTGATTTCTGGGTAATGCTTCAATGAGCATATCTGATTATGCTCATTTTTGTACTCTTGAGCATTTATGGTTAATACGGCGTTAGGAGGATCTTGGTAACAGTATGTGCGTAGTTGTTCTGAGGATACAAGTGCTGTTAATGATGTTCCGCTTTAGGGGTGTGCGATATTTATTACAGTATATATTATAATACCGGAATTGTGGTTTTAACTATGACGTTGGCACTAATATTGTAACTAAACAAAGCAGAAACACGTTATGAGAATCAGTTTCAGTTCAGTTTCCTTTAATTATGTCTTTCAAAACATCAATGCAGAACGAAATTACATTGCACCAACATCCAGCAAGAACAACAAAATACATCAGAAATCAACATAATAACATAATAAATAAGCTTTTGTAATTTTTAAATTATATAAAAATATAGTTAATTATAAAATATAAACCAAGTTAAAAACACAGACAGGAATTAATAATACTTAAATACGTATTGAGACTCCAGAGTCTTTGAATCCATGATGAATTATAGTGTCGATTAAATAGAATTTAAGTAATGAAATCAAAATAAATTGGTGTATTTTTGATGTTTGTTATTGGCAATATTACACAAGAGTGCCGTTTCCTGAATATAAGCACTTCAGCATGATTGCAGATACTGGTTTTGTTTAACAATTTTTCTTTTAAAGTTGATATTAAGTTACGTTTTACACATAAAATTGTCCCATTTTCAGTTCTGCCAATAAAAACAGTTTCAAGCTAAACCATATTTGCAGCAACAATGCAGTGTTTAGTTTCTACATGAATCTGTTTTTGAAATGATTATGTCAAGGATTCATTAATGACAGTCACTAGCTTTGTTTCTGAATGAATCACTTGAATAAATGAATCAGTGACTGCATCCAAAATCACATGCTGTTCTTTGCGACTGCTACTGATTTTGTTTACAATTTTTCTTTTAAAGTTGATATTGAGTTACATTCTACATACAATATTGTTAGTTTTTCAGTTTCGCCAATGAAAACAGTTCCCAACTAAACCATATTTGCAGCAATAATGCAGTGTTTAGTTGCTAAACGAATTAAGTCAGTGATTCGTTAAGTCTGTGATTCATTAATGACAGTCACTAGCTTTGTTTTGAATGAATCATCATTTTTGAATGAATCACTTGAATGAATGAACCAGTTACTGCATCCAAAATCACATGCTGTTCTTTGCGACTGCTAATAAAGGATGTTATTGGCCATTTAAATGTAATCTTGATGTACTAAATTCGCCATATTGAGAATTTCATCTGAGACTGAATCCTTGATAAATTATAGTGTCATTCGAATAGAACTCAAGTTATGAAATCAAAATAAATTGGTGCATTTTTTATGTTTGTTATTGGCAATATTACACAAGAGTGCCATTTCCTGAATATAAGCACATCAGCATGATTGCAAATACTGATTTTGTTTAACAATTTTCTTTTAAAGTTGATATTGAGTTACATTTTACACACAATATTGTCCGCTTTTTAGTTTTCGCCAATAAAAACAGTTTCAAGCTAAACCATATTTGCAGCAATAATGCAGTGTTTAGTTTCTAAATTAATACATTTTTGAGATAATTAAGTCAGGGATTAATGACAGTCACTAGCTTTGTTTCTGAATGAATCATAATTTTTGAATGAATCACTTGAATGAATGAACCAGTTACTGCATCCAAAATCACATGCTCTTCTAGAGTGGCTAATTATTTTGATGAAGTACTTTGTGACTGCTAATAAAGTATGTATAGGCAATATAAATATAATCTTGACGTACTATATTCGCCATATTGAGAATTTCGTTGTGCTGTTTTTGGCCTACCTGTAGGGAGGTATGCAATTTTGGATACAGCCAATGAATCACTCCTAATGACAGGGAATTGTCACCACCTACAGGCAGTTTTAGTATCCTGAACAAAGCTAAACTATTCAAAACACCAGCGTAAACATGTTTGTTTTAACATTGCACACCCCTATCTCGGTTCTTTATTTCGTTGACTGCACTAAACACACTGTTGAATTGCTTTTTGACACCAAATCTGGTTTCATCGTAGCTCTCAGGTTTTAGGGCTTTTTGTTTACGTGATACAACAATGCTTGTTGACGTCTTTAGTCGACTTTAAAGGAGTGAATGTACCTAAAAGACATTTGCTTGTACGAGAGCCCATTTACAACCACTTTTACAGAGCCTGTTTAACGCTGTCATAGTCATGGACTATTGTTTCCGCCAAATATTTCAGCTGTTTAGAGACATAACGTCAGGTGCTACATGTTTTTTGCTCAGATCCTTCACTCATTTTGTATATGACAGTGTTATTAGGGCCTCAGGTAAAATGTTGTACTTGATTTCTTTTCTAGAAAAGTCCCTTCACCTCACAGTCTCACTGTTTTTGCCATACCACGGGTAGCATGCGCATACTTAGTGTTCAAGCTTGCTCAAGATGTTTAGTTGTGGTGGGCCTGGTCGTCACTGCCATTGGTTTTTTCAATCCGTGTGGTTAGGCTGGCTAAAACTGTAAAATATTGTGAATAAAATTTCAGATGAAAATAACATTTCTCTGGTGTAGTAAATTCCTAATTCAGCCACTGTGCATAGCATTCTAATTGAGTTATAATAAGATCGGTTACAAGAATAAAGGACGGGGATTGTTTTGTGAAAAGAAAGGAAATGGTTCTGTTTGTAAACAGAGGGCTTCTCAATATAGCTTGCTGTGTTGTGAAAGCACAAAACCAACGTCTGAAACTATTTCACAGTTTTTCTTTTATAAATGGTCATAATTGGTGCACTGGATTTGATTTTCAGAGATGTTTTTGCTGTGAAGAGGGCTTTTCCCTCAAAATAATACCATATAAAACTGTCAGATTTTGCTAAATGCTGCTTCAGAGAATTGAAAAGTGAGTAATATATCTAGAGAATTAAGTGAACTATTTTAAATAATAGATGGAGGACTTTTGCCCAACATTTCTGATATCTGCTCTCAATTTGGACCCCTAGTCACAAAACCCCTCTATACCTTTTTGTCCAAGATGTTAACTATTTTTCATTCATTGAATCATTTTTCTTCGGCTTAGTATCTGATTTATCAGGGGTCACCACAGCTGAATGAACCGCCAACTATTTCAGCAGGTTTTACACAGCGGTTGCCCTTCCATTCGCAACCCAGTACTTGGAAACACCCATATACTCACATTCACACACACATACACACGCACACCCACATACACGTTTGTTTTTGTGAAAAGTGGGGACATTACATAGGTTTTCATTAATTTTATACTGTCCAAACTGTATATTGTATTGCCCTCACCCCACCCTCCCCTTAAACCCAACCATCAAAGGAGACGGTGTGCAGCTTTACTCCATGATTAAACTCATTCTGTAGGATTTATAAGCATTTTGAGAAATAAGGACGTCAAAAATGTCCTCATATTTCACCTCGTTTTTGTAATACCTGTGTCATACCTATGTCATTATACAGATTTGTGTCCTGATATGTCACAAAAACACGTACACACACACACACACACTCATACACTACAGCCAGTTTAGCTCATCCAAATCACTTATAGCGCATGTACCCGGAGGAAACTCTCACCAACACGGGGAGAACATGCAAACTCCACACAGAAACACCAACTAGCCCAGTCAGGACTCAAACCAGCAACCTTCTTGCTGTGAGGCGACAGTGCTAATCACTGAGCCACCATGTCGCCCAACTATTTTTCAATATAATAGAAATTAACCATTGTGCTAGACATGCCAGCAACACTCTGAAACTGCAGATAAACTCCATGTAAAACCAGAGAAACAGCTGAAAACCTGCATTTGATTCTTTGAAGTCGGGCCTATTATTCCTATTATTAGTCTGGTTCTCTCAAGGTTTTTTTTCTTCACTCCCATCAGGTGAAGTTTTTTTTCCCTCTCCGCTGTCGCCACTGCCTCGCATGGTTCAGGATTGGTAGAGCTACGCATCGATGAATTTGCTCTTCAGTGTTTGAACTCTCAGTAATGATTAAATCACACTGAACTGAGCTAAACTGAACTGAACTGAACTTAAACACTAAAACCTGAACCACACTGTTCCAGTTACTATGACCATTTATGTGAAGCTGCTTTGACACAATCTACATTGTAAAAGCGCTATACAAATAAAGCTGAATTGAACTGAATTGAATTGAATATTTTTACATGTTTACATTTTTGGGTTACACTGAAAACAAAGATTGATTAGTTTATTGCTCATCTGTTTTCAATCTAAAGTGCATTCATGTGTGTGTTTCAGGACAGAGCACCCAAGTTTGAATACCTTGATGACTTAGTCAAAATTCATTGTGAACCTGCAAATACGGATGTTAACATCCATTTGACTGCAGTTTGTAGGTAAAATGAACTCCACTGGGAAACTAATGATATTTACAGAGACATGTTATTGCATACCTGCCAACACTCCTGTTTCGTTATTTCTCCCGGAAAAACTCACGTAATTTAAATAAAATCCGGTCTCCAGGATGTTCAGAGGCAAATGTTGGCAGGTATGTGTTATTGACGAATAAAGGATCATTTATGTGCAGTTCTATGCAAAACACCAAAAAGAAAAATACAAAACAACTTTGTAATCTAATTTGTAATCGAACACAATCCCTCAGTGATCTATCTCCATATACACAACTTTTCTGATGTTGTACGATGTTGTATCAGTGATGCACAGCACTCAGGTTTAAGTCCCATAAATTACAGCTCAACAAACGAGAAAAAAAGTATTGCAAAATCAAGGTTAATTTATGGGGTAACTTTTACTTTTCCTTTAAAAAAATATTAAAGGGCACCTATGGTGAAAAATCTACTTTTCAAGCTGTTTGGACAGACATGTGTGCAAGTATAGTGTATAGACCGTCATATTGGGGTGATTTAAACACACCCAGTCCTTTTTTTTTTTCCAATTTGACAACAAAAAAACGGTGGACCAATTGGAGCGGTTTTCAGACCGACCGCAACTTTACGTAGGAGTGCGGTCCCCCCGCCCACCAATATTGATTGACAGCCTTGCGTCACGATCATATCCTCAGTTTCTTGTTGCACGTCCGCCATTTTCAGCGTGTGAGTCAAACCGATACTCAGAAGACCCATATTATTAATCTTGAATCATAAAAAAGGGTAAACTATGTGCCCTTTAATCAATAATATCTAGCTGCAGGCCCGCAGAACCACACACATTTTAGGCACACACAATCTAGGACACACAATCTAGGCAAACCATATATGGTTACGACGGATGTTAATGTTATTAACGTCTTTTTGAACATCGTCATTGATATATTTTGATAAATGTGGTTAATAAATATTGTACACAATAAGCAATAGTGTTTACTTTATTTCACAAATATTGCAATCGAGACGGCCGAATGGGGAGCATTGTTTCCGATTGCCAGATCAGCCTGATCAGTCATTATTATCTGACAATAATATAGCAAATACTCGTTTGCTAGCCTTGCTGAACGATCTAATTTGGACAGGTTTAGTTTATATAATGCATTAATTTTTGATGAAGGAAATAATAGCAAGTTAATATAGGCAATAATACATTATATGTAATAAAAAATGTTTTTACATGTAACAAATGTATAACACTATATTATTTTACTCAAGCGATTTAATAGTGTTTATTTATTTGCTTAACTTTCAAATAATCTTTTAATTAATGATTTCCCACATTTAATACTGTAGTAATTTATAGTAAGCAATAAATTGTTTTTAAACTAAAATTTAGCCATAGGAACAAATTAACTATTAATAATTAAAAAATAATAAGTATATATATATATATATATATATATATATATATATATATATATATATATATATATATATATATATATATATATATATATATATATATATATATATATATATATATATATATATATATATATATATATATATATATATATATATATATATATATAACTAACAGCTGTGACAGTTTGGTAAAAGATAGTAGTTTATATATAAACTTATTATAATCAGATAATCAGTTAAGATAATCAGTTTATAACTATATATATATATATATATATATATATATATATATATATATATATATATATATATATTGTTTAAATGATTAACTATAGTAGGCTAATTTATTTTAAAGTGACATATTATTGTTTGCTTTTTATATTTTACATTATAATATTATAATATTAAGATCTTGAATTAATTTATTACACTTAATCCAACAATTAGACGGTCTATGGTTGCTTTGTGTTTGTGGAAACATGAATAAAGTCATAATTGTATTTAACCAATTATTTTTATTTACATAATTTGAGTTCAGAAACTGCAGAGATGTTAAAATGATCGTAACGATATAATAATAATGACTGAAATGGGAAACCATACTTGTGAAATTCAATAGGTGGCGACCATATATGGTTTGCCTAAATCGTGTGTCCTAGATTGTGTGTGCCTAAAACATGTGTGCTGCGGGCCTGCAGCTGGATATATCTCCCTTTAATGGCTGGGTTTAGGTAAGGGTTTAGGTGTGGGGTTTGCTAGCTGTTTGACAATCTTTGACACCTTATAGACTTTGCTGGTCTGGCTGGAAAAGGATCAGTCTAAACCAGCTTGACCAAGCTGGTTTTAGCTGATCATCTCCCAGCCTGACCAGCTAACACCAGGCTGGAAATGGCTGAAACTAGCCTGGAAATGGCCAAAACCCCACTAAAACCAGCCTGGTTGACCAACTAAATCCAGCCAACCAGCATAGGCTGGTTTAAGCTGGTTTTTCAGCAGGGTTAGTGCTGTGTTACACAATGCATGGGTGGTAATTTTCAAAAACCCATAATAGAGGCTCTTTAAAATGAAAACGTACACTAAAGCCTCAGTTGGTCATGTCAGCGAGAGTAGGTAAAGCTCATTGTGAACTTGCCCTTTTGTATTGTGAGATGGGACTGTTTTTAATAGTTTAGTGAAAGAATCTTATCACAACTGCACCAACTCGACTGCCTAAACCGATATGATATTTTAAGTTGGCAGACAAAGCCCACTAAACACTTCTTTTTAAAGTACCCGCAAAACCCAGAGAAGTTTTCTCGATGCAGGCTATGGACAGATTGTTTCCGAACATCATAAACACAAACAGTGACTGGAAAACTAATATAGCTGTGGTGTACTGCGAATTACTCAACAAAATGCCAAAGAAAAGTTCCACATTGGGCGTGTAAAGGGGGCACTCTGACTTGGTCTGAGCGTTTGTCTCAATTGGTTACATGTGTGCTCATTTCATCCCCAAACACACTCAGAGTCCCCCCCACCTTCACAAGGAGCACACATGTGGCACTTTTTTTTTAACCAAAGCCCTTAAATAGAGGACTCCGACGCCTCAGAAGTCAGCACCTCAACATGTGGACAATCTCAAGCACACTTTTGCTGATCTGCTGCCTCCGAGCAGCTCTCGCTCAGTGGCAAGATGTGATCGAATTTCTTACGAAAGGCACTAAAGATGAATGCTACATGAGCGTGACCGGATCGGGGGATCTGACCAAGCTGCGCATCACCTGCCAGGGGGACGAACGCTCCTACTGGTGCGAATACCAGGGTAGACCCAAAGTCTGTCGCTCGTACAATGGCAACCCAGTGCATTACTACAGGCAGATCATGTGGAGCCTCCGCAAGCTGCCCAACGCTTGCCAGGGCCAGCGCGTCTATAAGCCTTTAATGTGCAAGAGAGCCACCGACGATGCTCAGATGGTCTTCACCACTTCATCCTCAGCAGATGCCGTGCCAAGAGACCGACCCGAGCCGATGAGACCAGCACAGAAACCCATGCCAAAGCCTACTAGGCCACAGCCGTTAAGAACTGCTCCAGCCAGGCCAAGTCCATACAAAGTTATCAAAGTCTACCCACCGAAGAAAGTTACACCCAGACCAACTGAGCCCGTGCCGACTACGCAGGTGCCCTTGAGTGAAGCCAACAGACTTGCTCAGGACTATTGCTGGCGCTCCTTACATAGTGCATGCTCCTTCGTCATAGGGCTGTTCAGAAGCTAAGAGCAAGGTAGGAGTTTCACACACACACACATAGTTGTTAACACACATTTTCATTAAAGCTGGCCTGAAGATATTGAACAACACCCATTCTTGACTCTTTTGATCCACTTTATTTGTTGCTTACTTCATGCACTGCTTTTAATTGTCTCAAAAATGCTACTTTGATCAAACTACTTGTTTAAAATGAGTTGAAACGACACAGTTCTTGAGGTTTTTTTGGCACAACTGAATTGTTTTAAGTTCAGTCTACTTAAATTTGTAAAAACGATTAAGTTCGCTTAATCGATTTGTGTAGGGGCAACATGGAGATGTGTGGAACACTGCATTATTTTAAAGTGTTGTCTGTAATTGTACACTTACTGTGAATAAATGCAGGTTTCCACACAATTCCTTCGTGTCATCTCAACGCAAATCGATTAAATTAATCGATTTAGTCAATTTTAAGTTGATTGGACATAAAACAACAAAGTTATCTCAAAAAACCCTCAACTATTTTGTTGTTTCAGCTGATTTTGAATACGTAGTTTAAACACACATTAAACATTACGTAGTGTGCACATTAAACAAAGAAAAAAATAGTTTAAGTCCAGTTTGAGATGATTAAATACGTGAAAATTCATGTAATAATGTGTGTTCATGTGAATTTGAAGGCTGTATCTGAAAATGTGTCCTCTTTGTACACTATTCCAGTTACTCACAATCCCTGCAGGCAACAAATGCTATTCAGGACGACTCCAAATATCAGACAACTTGGACTGAAGAAGACTAATAAGAAGGTGTGTGTGATAAGCAGGGCCAGACAGAATCTGCGGACATTTTTTGCTATTTGTGTGAAGGTTTAACAAAAAATAATCTGCAGAATATTTTTGGAAGTATCATAACTAAAAACGTAAAATAAGAAAGATCTTAAATCTTTTATTTAATGTTTACAATGCAAATCCAATTAGATCCACTTATTTGGATGATAAAGCAAGTGTCTCATACAATATATCTACTAAAAGGCAAAAAATATTACATTTCAAACTGTATTGTAAATAAATCAAATGAACATTTTCATGTCAATAATATTACAAAAAAGTTATTTAAAAACTGAATAAATTTACACACATTTACGCTAGTAAATAAATAGACTTGATGGGCGTAATATCTGCGGAAATCTGCAAGTTTCTGCACACACAGATTCCGTCTGGACCTAGTGATAAGTCTGACAGGAATTGGCGAAATCACTCCCTGCTATATATTTTATATCTTTGTACAGAATCAAATGTTATCAGAATACAGCAGAAAACATGACTAATTAGCCATCATCTGTTGAGCATGTTTTGTTCTCTAAATCGGCTATATGTACTGTATATTCATCTTTCCTGTTGTGTATTTATACGTTAGGATTTCTCAAAGCTGTAAAATCACTTAACATGCTGTCGATGTGTTTACTACATTTTAAAGTGTGTAGATGATACTCAAATGCATACATGTTGTTGTTTTTCTGAGTGTGTGCTATAAATAAATGTTCATCCTTGATTTTTGTGTGGAGGAGATTTCTGAATGTTACGGCAGGAGGCGCTGTTGTGTTAAATAGAACCGCAGAAAGGTCGAGATCTCTTTCACTTACTGGTTTGTGATTTTTTTTTTCGGCTTAGTCCCTTTATTAATCAGGGGTTGCCACAGCAGAATGAACCACCCACTTATCCAGCATATTTTTACACAGCAGATGCCCTTCTAGCTGCAACCCAATAATGAGAATGATTTTTGTTTTAAGTTTGTTTTTATTTTGTATACAGAAAATGTACAGAATAATAATCAAAATGATCAAAAATAAAGAGTTTTTGTTATTATATATATTATGGTTTTACAGTAGTAAGAATATGCCTTTGTTTAAAACTAGACTAAGTGTTCTTGTGCAATATTTATTTAACTAATAGCCTACATTTTTATGAAAGAGTGCACAGAAAAGATAAATAGTTTCTAAAAGCTTACAAGTCAGCAGAATTCCTTTCCCTTCTTCTGGTGTTTTCATTAAATTGGTTTAATCATAATTTCAGCTACTCTAGTTTTCAGTGACAAGTTAAATAGTTCATCAGTCTAATCCAGGGATGCCCAAACTATTTCCTATAAAGGGCCAAAAACCAAATGTCATTGAGGATGCACATACCAAACTAAACTACAAAACATAATCACATTTATAACGCAGTGGAGATTAATGCTGAAACCCAACTCAGGCTCGTTCTGAAAACATACCTCTATATACATTTCTGGAGAGCACCAAATACCTCCCAGGAGGTACATCTTTTGCCGTTTTTGTTTTCACGAATCCACCAGAGGTTGCCTTGTATGCTTTTTGACATCTCAAATTTCTCTCATGAGTGCCATTCGTGTCTGTTGACTGATTGACCAATGAACTGACCAACCCTCCTTAGACTAAAGGTCTGACCCAGACCCTCCCTAAACCCAACCAATTGTATTGATTGACCAGCGCCCATCCACTTCCCTAAACCCAACCAACAATTTTCAAAAGCAATCCAGAAAAAGAAAAGCCCTTGTTTGATTTTTCCCACGTTTTCAGATTTTACCACATTCTCACCCTGTTATTTACTTGTTTTTTTTTTTTTTTTTTTTGGCTTCTGTTTTTGTCTTTCCTGCTTTCTGAAACCGTTCTTCACTTGAGTCGAACTTCGTTATTTTGGTCAACTCCTCTCTACGTCCGCCGACGTACATGGCAAGCTACTGGACAAACGGGTATCAGCCGGAAAGCCATCCATACAGAGGTAATCGGTCAGCTGGTAAAGGAACTGCATCATACCGCCCCATAGTGTTCCTTTTAAAAATTAAATTCAGCCATACGTGTATTTGGCTACATATAATAATTCATAATTTGCGATCTCCAGAAACGTATATAAGGCTATATTTTTATAATGAGCCTATGTTGGAGAATACACTAGTCTTAGCAGAATCTGCCTTCTGACCAAAGAATCTGCATTATCCACTATCCGTCGCATGTACATTTTAAACAAAATCTGATTCATTTACACCATTTCAATTGAAAATCTTAATTTCAGCCTTTTTCGTAGACTAACAATAAAATAAACAAATAAATGATTACTTTAAATTTGAAATTACAGTCTCTAAACCATTCTCAGACGGGATGGTGGGACAAATCAAAGGTTACCATGAGCCAACTTTGGCCCACGGGTCCTAGTTTGGGCATCTCTGGTCTAATCGATTCTTGAAAGAGGCGGTCCATTTGTTCACGAAATCAAGACTCGATTCGTCAACCATTTTCGAGCATGTCAGATTAATGTTGAGCTGAAGGCTTTCAGGTCTTATCTAAATAGTCACAAATGAGCTGTTAACAATGGTGAAAGAACAGTAACACAGAGAGGACCATTTCATGGGAAGTCTACATGGTAAAGGTATTAAAGCTGGCACTGGAGCAGTACCTTTCTGAAATGATAAAGGGTTGCACAGATAGACTGTGAAGTAGTAGGTGTCGAGGTCATATTTTTACCTTAAAGATAGGCCTACACATTAGTTCCTAAAAAGTACAAGCATCCACCTTTTGAAAAGACACCACCACCCCAGCTACAGCTTTTGTACCTTTGTTTTACTGCAGTTTGTATTTTTAAAAATCCTGTTTTTGGTCATTGGTTCAGTGTTTTACCTTACCATATAGTCAGGCCTGAATTAAGAACTCAGGGGCCCCTGGGCACATTGTCTTGTAAGGCCCCCTACCCGGCCGCACCCCTATAGTTGAATTAAATACAAAAAAGAATAAGATAATAGTTTTTAAATAGAAAGAATTTTTAATTTGTTGCCCACATATTTAAATAAACGACTATATACATAGTGTCTACGAAGATTTAACTTAATTTTCAAAGCATTGAAAAAAAAACTTATAAAATTAGTGAAAATTACTGTTTTTTTAGTGCACTTGTTCAAGTTTACTGAAACAATACTATATACATTATAGTACTAATATATATATATATATATATATATATATATATATATATATATATATATATATATATATATAATTTTTAAAGGGTATTTTAATGTATAACTTTTATAAACTTATAAAGGATATTATTGGCGTGGCATATAAAACACAATGCCTCTCCAATCTAGTTCTGTGAATCTGAGTCTTTCATAATACACACACTTATTAATGATTTACTGTCTCTCTCCTCCTCTCCCTGTATTTTCTCGACTCTCCTCATGATGAAAAGTAGGCAATCAGCATAGATCAACTTGATTCTAAACCTAATGTTGTAACATTTATCACCAGGTGGAAAATAATTATAGAATATAATCACTATTTAGAGGCTGTTACACATATGAAATAGGCTCACGTTAAACATTATTAAATAAACCCATGACGCACTTGTGACTTTATATCACATTTGCATTATTTTTTTTTTTACATTTTTTATATTAAAATTAAATATTTCCCCAATCTGATGTGTACAGTAATGAGGAGAGCAAAAGTAGCATGAGTTCAGCAGATGGTGGATTTGAACCCTTGGTTGATGACCAGCTAACTCTATCAAGCCTCTTCAACTGCTCCAGAATGCAGCAGCACGAGTGGTCTTCAATGAACCTAAACGAGCACATGTCACTCCGCTGCTAGTCCGTTTGCACTGGCTGCCAGTTGCTGCTCGCATCAAATTCAAAGCTCTGATGTTTGCCTACAAAGTGACCTCTGGCCTTGCTCCTTCTTATCTGCTCTCACTTCTGCAGATCTATGTGCCCTCCAGAAACTTGCGTTCTGTGAATGAACGTCGCCTCGTGGTTCCATCCCAAAGGGGGAAGAAATCACTTTCGCGAACACTCGCGCTCAATCTGCCCAGTTGGTGGAATGAACTCCCTAACTGCATCAGAACGGCAGAGTCACTCGCTGTTTTCACGAAACGACTAAAAACTCAACTATTTAGTCTCCACTTCACTTCCTAATCTGCAATTGCCTCTTTGAATATCACACTAACTGTACAAAAAAAAAAATACTAATACTAATACTTCCCTTCTTAGACTTTACAGACCTGAAACTTGCCTATAGCACTTATTCATTGTTGCTCTTAGTTGTGTAAATTGCTTCCTTGTCCTCATTTGTAAGTCGCTTTGGATAAAAGCGTCTGCTAAATGACTAAATGTAAATGTAAAATGATCGATCGCGTCAAAAGATGTTGTGCTGTGCGCTTAACGTGATACTCCACTCACACTGTAACTCTAATTCGCTCTTTACTCATGTTGTCTCTGTTAATCAGGCAGTGATGGGCGTAAACTGTGAAAAGCTCATTTCAACAAGGTGTGCTAGTTACACTTAGCCTAAAAAGACACTCTGAAATTGGCTTGTTTTCCTTCCCTCACGGTGGCCCCAAGTGCACACGGGCCCCTGGGCCTGCGCCCATAAGTAAGCCCACCCAGAGTCTGCACGCACAGAATTCCAGATTTTCTGCAGAAATCCGCTGACTTTTACTAAAATTCTCCACAGAAATGGCAAAAAACGTCCGCGGATTCCGTCTGGCCCTACCCATAAGGCCCAATGGTTAATCCTACCCTGCATATAGAAGGCCTATAGGTTTACATTAAACATTCACCAGCGCCACACTTTCAGCTTGGTTTTATTGTAGGGATGTAAGGGATAGAATGGAAACAGAGGGATGAAGGGGAAGGGAAGAAAGAAGATAAACAGTGAACAGGTAGGTAGTTTGGTTGATCGGGCATCCAGAGACTCAGAGTGGGGATACCGTCTCTGTAATATTTTGGTAGAGTGTTTGGACCCCCTGATTCAACCTAGGAGGGAAGAGAGGGAATTGTGAATAGGAAGCAAGGAAATGGACGAAGGGAGCGTGGGTTCCAGAGAACGAGAAGAACAGTGGTAGAGGGCTGGTCTGCCTTAAATAAGTTTTTAGGGAGTAGGTGATTGGTTAAGAGTCACCTACCAAACATTCTGCTCACATAACCCCAATCTTGTACGACCTCCACTCATCATTACGTTCCGCTGACTCTGGCCTTCTCGCTCTCCCTCAGTACCGCCTCTCTTCAATGTGGGGCAGATCATTTAGTCTTATTGCACCCAAACTCTGGAACTATCCACCACACTCACTCCGCTCTGCTAATATCTCTGAATTCAAATCCTTAAGACTCACTTATTTTCTGAATGCTTCGCTTCTGATCTGCCAAACTGACTACTTTATCTGATCCACCTCCACTCTGCTCATTTGTCTCCTAGGTCTTGTTTGTGTAATTCCAGTTTGTTATATTTGACTTCATGTATGTTTGTTTATTCAATTCAATTCAGCTTTATTTGTATAGCGCTTTTACCATAGATATATACATTAGATGTCGCCTGGTGTATTGTTGACTATTGGTCGGAATGCGTCAATAGCGCCGCCATCTTGCTACAGGGTAGCGCTCCTTTGAAATGAATGCGGGACCAATGTACAGTGGAGGACTGTGGCCATCCAAAGCCACAGATATACACATATAGACATATATCTATGATCGGGAGTTTTCCTGGATGTTAGTATGTAATTTTTTTTCTAACTTCTCACTTCTCTACATTGATGGATCAGTGAACGCACGGACATTCCTGACAAAAAGCTTGTGTTTGTGTGTACAGAAATGTACTATTCACCCTCCCTGTTAAATTTGATCTAATCCATGTCCTGAAACACAGCTCCTCTCCTGCTTTCACTTCTCATACTGACGGAGGGAGCGATTCGTTTGTGAATGAATGCCCCGAACGACTCTTTCACTAACGTTAGCCGACAATAATACAAGTTTCTGACAGCGCAGCATCTCGTTGTCATATTTCTTTTGCATTGTTTGCTGATTTTATTCAACAAAACTAGCATAAGCCGAGTGTTTAGTTCGAGTTGTAGCTGCTTTGCCGTATGGTGAATGCAATAAGTGACTGTTATCATCAATAACGTTACCTGATTAGCACCAAAGTTCAGAACATACAAAAACAGAAAAAAACTTAATATTACCTATGAAATGTTCTGCCTTTGTGCTTTGTTTTCTTTGTTTGCTCGTTACTACACGTAGACAGTGCTAAAGTCCCGCATCTTCACGTAATAACACTGTCTTGACTAGTGCGGTTGAATGACATTTGTCCTGGGAGCACTGTACCAATGTGGTGGCACTATTGACGCATGCTCAGGGTCCCTATGCGATATCTAGTGTATATATCTATGCGCTTTTACAATGTAGATTGTGTCAAAGCAACTTCACATAAATGGTCATAGAAACTGGAACAGTGTAGTTCAGTTTTTAGTGTTTAAGTTCAGTTCAGTTTAGCTCAGTTCAGTGTGATTTGAAGTCATTATTGAGAGTCCAAACACTGAAGAGCAAATTTATCGATGAGTAGCTTTTCAGATCCTGAACCACGCAAGCCAGTGGCGACAGCGGAGAGGGAAAAAAAACACCAATAGGAGAGTGAAGAAAAAAAAAACCTTGAGAGAACCAGACTCAGTTCGGCACGACCATTTTAATTTCTCCACTGGCCAAAAGTCTTGTGCAGAGCTGCAGTTTCAGCAGTGGAGGCTGGAAGCTGGCCTCAGCGAAGACTCATCTGTCCCTGGAGCTTCACTGTAATCAGTCTCATACTCTCCACTCCCCCATGACCAACAGCGCAGCAGCAGTTTATCTTTTTGTCACATTCCTTGTAAAGTGTCCTATATAAAGGTGAAAGGTGCTATATAAATAAAAATTGTATTTTTATTATTATTATTAAGAAGGGAAAGCGGGGCGTGGTTCTGCTGCTGAACTTTTGTTTTTCTTAGTCCCTTTATTAATCTGGGGTCACCACAGCTGAATGAACCGCCAACTTATCCAGCATATGTTTTATGCAGCGGATGCCCTTCCAGCTGCAATCCAACACTGGGAAACTTTACCAAAGTTTGTAAACGTAAAATTGTCAGTTATTTTGGTGTAATAGTTCATGTTTGCAGCTACCGCTTGTGTAATGCTGATCAGTTATAGCCTAATTCAGAAACCCCACAAGCTGCATGCCTTACCAAGCCACCACTTGCCAAATTAATGAATATCCCAGAACAAGAATGTGGAAAGATGAGAGGGAGGCGCGTGCGCGAGATGCTCTATAAATGGCGCACACAGAAACTTCAGGTGCAAAACCAAAGCTTTCAGAGCTGTCGCTCATTGTTAAACCACACTGGTTGATTTACTGCAGTAAACCAAATGTCACCTCAGATTCACGCCGCAGTAGTTTGAGAGTATTTCCAATGCAGCCATGATGCGCGCGACAGGCATCGCTGTGTTTCTGGTGTTCGCCTGTGTCCTGCAGCAGCTCGTGCAGGTGAGCAGCCTGAGAAACAAAGACAGAAAAGCACAGACAGACGGGAAGAGGAGGGGAAGAGCTCAGCGCACTGACGGCTCTCTGAAAGGCAGATTCTCACTGAAGGACGGACCGCGCTGCTCGTGGTCTGCAGCGCGCGACGGCGACGCGTTTGTTTTGGGAATCACCTGCAAAAACGGAGAGGAGACCTTCGGCTGTAAATATGTCGCGAAGCCCACCACTTGTCAACAGTACGCATCCAATACCAAATTATACTGGAAACAGATCGGCCACTCGCTGACAAAGCAGAGGAGAGTTTGTCGCGACTCGAGAGCGCTGGTTAGAGCCGGTGTGTGCAGGAGCGCGCCCGCGGACGCGCACTTCAAGCTGATGGACGCGCGCGCGAACTCCAGAGTCCCATTACCGGGGAATAATCTCTGTCCCGACCGGATCGAGAGGCTGAGAGTGGCCGAGGAATACTGTAGCAGCTCGTGGTCTTCACTCTGTACTTTTCTCTTCTTGATGCTGGAGAATGATGAATGCTCATGACTGACTTAAAGAAAAGAAAAAAAAAACTTTTATATTCCCCCGATGAGTCGATTTGTATGTATTTATGAGATTATGAATCAGTTACTTGTCTTACTACTGGAAATAAAAATTTAAATTTTCCTCTTGTTATATTTGTTTGAATCTCGTTTTAACTTGTGTTTTCATCGTCAGCACTTGTTAAATTAAATGTGCTTTAATGACTTTAATTATGTATGGTCATAATCCAAAATCATTCACCAAAGTGCACTAAACTGCAGAGGTTCATATCGAGCTAATTTAGATTCGGTTTTTGGAAAAGAAACGGAAAGTCATAATTAAAAGAAAATGAAAACACGACGTATATGTTATAATGAATATAAAGTATGTGAAAAAATGTTATCTGAATTAAAAGTATTTGAAGCTTCTTACGAATGAAAACTTTCGAATACAGTTTAAATTGCAGTAAATAACTAAATAAACGTAAATAATAAATAAAAAAATAATATATAGCCAGTTAAAAGTCTAACAAAAAACTACTATCTTTAAAATGAACAGAAATATCTAAAACATAACAGAAAATAAAACATTAAACCTAAGAAAAATTAGTAATATAAATTCAACAATATTCAAATAGCATTGTGGCACCTTGATCTCTGGTCCGTCAACTGGGTGTATTATAAGAGGTAATAGATACTGGCAGCTCATTACACATTTTTGTGTACCAAAACCCAGTCAATATAGCTTCAAACTATACTAAATGTCACTTCATTAAACTTTTCAACTTCAAACGTTTTATTAGAGCAGAGATCAGTGTCCAATTATATAATTCAAAAGCATAACATCCACACTGAAACAAATTATGCTCCCAAAATTGTTGCATCAATTTAGGCTATGTCGAATTGACACAAATTAAATTTAGTCATGTTCAACTTGAGTTTGTTTGTTTAAATTCAGCCCAAATAAATTGTTTACAACCACCTCACCTAACAAAAAAAAATTGTAAATCCAAGGAATCGCCTGAATAATTTATTTTTTCAGTGTGTGAATGAAAACATGCATATCTCTGCGTGACTTTTATCTTTTTTCAGTAAATCTGCTTCTTTGTTCATGTATGCAAAACTGAACTGAATGACTTCAGTTTAAACCCAGATTAATGACTCCTGCATTCCTGCGAAACCATGTGCTGCTTTTTTTGTGAACTCTTGTAAACCATTATTCGGGCAGAATTGATGGGAGATCAAATCTGAAGGGGATCCCTATTTAAATCTAAGAAAACAGTGATTTAAATTATACAAATGAATGATGTTTCACAGAAATCAATTAGACATTATAAGACATTTTGTGAACATTAATTTTTTTTTTACCTAACAATGAGTTTTATATAGAGGGAATGGTCAATTATAGCTGATTTCTCTCAGATTGAAGGGGGTCTAATTGAGAATATAGTGTAGTAGGAATATCATCTCTAACTCATTCCTGAATGGAGGAATTAGTCTTGTTGCAACTGCCCCATGTTGCAACCAGCCCCTTAACACGGCCACCCCTGTAATCTGGCCACCCCAATATGATTTTGCTGTTTATTAATTAATTTCATTGCAATTACATAAATTCACAATAAATAGCCTAAATATCAGCCACTAAAATAACCTAACGCTGACGCATTCAACCGCAGCAGATAAGCTGACTTTTACCTTTTAACAATTTCAAGTTCACGTTACATTTTAAAAAAAAAATAAATAAGGGTAAAGTTCTTTTAACATAATTTGTTCAGTATTGTTTGATGACGAGAGACAAAACACAACTTTGGGTTCACAAGACTGTACACTTTTCATTGAGAAATTAATGTTGAAATGAAAATTTTTGTTTTATTCGATTGAAAATTACAAATCCAAAATAATAATAATAATAATAATTAAATGCGTTTTAAAACCAGCATTTCAGAATATAGTTTATTTAGCACCTCACATTTTTTGCTGATTGACTCACAAAGGTCAAAAATCTCAATGATTTTGTGGATGTATTTTGCAAGAAGGTAAATCAATAGAAGAAGCTTTGTTAATATTGTGGCTCAAAAACAAACATGGATAAATCACATTATTAGTGGGTGAGTGTGTGTATAATAGCTTTTGTTCAGTTTGTTCATTTATCCGTTTTATTAATTGATCAATATTAGACATGGAATATACTGTACACTGTACAATAAAAGTTTGTGCAAAAATAACTAACCTGAAAAGTGTTTTTAAACAAAATGTTGATTTTTATTTGGTTTGCACAAATTCTTACTCAATTATTGCAATAGTTTAAGAGTGATTCATTGAATTAATTAAAAAGACATTATTTCATTGTGTGTGTGCGTGCGTGCGTGCGTGCGTGCGTGCGTGCGTGCGTGTGTGTGCGCCACCTCAAGATTTGGTGTGGCCTCACCCGGCCACCCCTAAGAAAATGTTCTAGGGGCGCCACTGTCCCCGCTCTCCCCTGTTACGAATCACAAGACTTCTCTAGATCATGAGTAAATTACATCAAGTTTTGAAGCTTCACATATAAACATATTCCAGGATGCGGCTCCTTTCAATACACGCTTCTGGTCGTGAATCAAACATTCAAGTACACTAAACTGGTTTTAGCATCTTGTGGTTTTCTGGTAGCCGCAGCAGTCTGTGATTATGAAATTAAACGCGCTCACACATGTCGGGGCCTTTCCTTTCCAAAAACAACATTCACAGCACGTGAAGAATACTTCACTTTGCTGACTTTCTCATTATGCATGTTTAAGAATAGCATATGAGCTTTATTTCTGGAGCGCTAAATTAGCCTGTGGTTGGCGTGGGTTTCCTCGGGCTGCTCCGGTTCCCCCCACAGTCCAAACACATGCGCTGTAAGTGAATTGGATTAACTAAATTGGCCGCAGTATATGAGTGGTGAGTGAATGCGTGAGTGTTGGGTGTTTCTCACTACTGGGTTGCGGCTGGAAGGGCATCCGCTGCGTAAAACATATCCTGGATAAGTTGGTGGTTCATTCCGCTGTGGCAACCCCTGATGAATAAACGGACTAAGCCAAATTAATGAAATTTATTAAATCTGTATTTGAGGAAAATTAAATTAGACATGCGAATATTAAAGGCCCATAATTGTCATTAAATAAATTGGTGTTAAAAAATGAGCACAGTGGCGCAGTGGTTAGCACTGTCACCTCACAGCAAGAAGGTAGCTGGATTGAGTCCTAGCTAGGCCAGTTAGCATTTCTGTGTGGAGTTTGCATGTTCTCCACGTGTTGCTGTGGGTTTCCTTCGGGTGCTCCAATTTCCCGCACAGTCCAAAAACATGCGCTATAAGGGAATTGGATGGCCATAGTGTGTGTGTGTGTGTGTGTGTGTGTGTATGGGTGTTTCCCAATACTGGGTTGCAGCTGGAAAGGCATCCGCTGCGTAAAACATTTGCGGGAATAGTTGGCGGTTTATTCCGCTGTGGTGACCCGGGTCCTGAATAAGTGACTAAGCTGAAGGAAAATGAATACATATACATGTATAAATTAACACAAAATTTAATAAAATTAATAAGTAAAATTTCATCTTGATTTGTCAAAACGGTGTTAATTATAATTTAGATTCGAATTTGGACATTTTTATCTCATAATTTCAGATTTTAAGTTATAATTTAGATTACAATTACATTTCAGATATTTTAGCAGAATTTTAAATAGTCAATATATTGTCTGGTACTGTCAGAATTAAAACTTTGAATCTCATTCTAAAACTTTGTATCTCATTCTCACAATCCTCGGGTTACAAAATGACAACAAAGTCATAGTGTGAATTTGATTAGAACTACAAGCTCAGGTAAAATGTGTAAACAAACTACAAACATGGCGGACGAGCTAGACCAACCGTCAGGTAAAGAGGCTTCAGAAAAGATGTTTATATGGCTGTTAATAAATATCTTGCCAACTGGAAAATATTTTAATTACCTTATCCGTGTTATATTTCATCTGCAACAACATTTCTATAAAGACATGTTTGGACATTAACTTCTGAATGCATTATCCAAAGACCTGAGGATATTTCGCTGCATGAAAGACTCGTGAATGGGAGATTGGCCTGCTGCTGCTTCTCCAATAAGGTAGGAAATTAAATGTGTCAGAAATGTAAATAATGTGTGGATGATTAACACAATGATCTGTTAACGAGAAAGTATGTCCCACAGCTTGCATACTCTTCTGTTACACACTTAAAAGTATTTATTTTTCCTTCACAAAAAAAGTACATACATTAAAGCCTAGTTTGTGGATTGGGACGCAGCATTTGATTTGTGGAACTTTTCTATGTAGCATCATGGGTAATGTAGTTTTTAATGCACGAATACTGTCATTAAGTTGATTTGAAAATAAGTTGAATTAATGCATTCAGAACTGATTAACAACCTCCGGATCGTTTTTAATGGTTTATGACTTATAAAATCAATTTGGGGAAGAATGAATGGAGTTAGTACTTTGCACACACATGTGTGTCCCCCATTGGGTTTAACTGAAGCTCTGCCCTCTGAATGCTCTCCTTCAGGTCCTGTGTATGTGCCGGCAGGGGTCTCCATGTGGACTGATGTGGCCTGATTTCACACCCTCACATCTGAGCTCTGATTGGCCGAAACAATGACCCTAATACACTGCATCCAGGAAATAGTGAGTCTAGAAATGAGCGGCTTTGTGCTGAGGGTTTAATCAAGAGATTAACACACACACACACACCAAATCCACATTCCACACATCATAACACAATGTGCTCTTTTAACAGTTTCAACATCTCTACGGCTCGTACTGTAGTAAAGGTGTACTATTCTAAAGATTTTGAAACGTTTCATATTTATAGATCTTCGTTTAGCAATTATACATTTTGCTAATACTTAGATAATGCATTTAGCATCTGTTTGAAAGCTTTTAATATTATTTAATACTATTATTTATGATTTTATTATTACTTTTTAAAATATCACACTTAATATTCACAGTAGATTCTAGTGTGTGTAGAAATGTAATGCATAAATCACAATATGATTTATTTTAAGTGACAATTACACTTAAAACATTGAGTAATTGGTGGTTCATTCCGCTGTGGCTACCCCTGATAAATCAGATACTAAGCCGAAATAAAGTGAGTGAGTGAAATATACTTACATTTTCCATCCACCCTATACAAATTAAGGATATTATGTTTAATTCAACATTTAAAGTCATAAACAGTTGATAATCTTTTATTTTACTGAGCCTTTGTTACACATTTGATACATTTATTATATAAATATAATAATAAATTATGCATTATTATATGCAGTTAACCCCATCCTACAACCTAAACCACATCTAATATTACTCAGTATATTTGAATGTAATTACACTGTAACCAATACACCATAAAACTAATGTATTTAGTCCTTTTTGTTACTTTAAATATTTTCTGGTTTATAGACAGACACACAGACAGACAGTTTAGAAAGAAAGAAAGAAAGAAAGAAAGAAAGAAAGAAAGAAAGAAAGAAAGAAAGAAAGAAAGAAAGAAAGAAAGAAAACATATCACTAAAGGTGCTGTTGACTTGAAATTTTCCTTGATGCTGGTAACAACCAAATAAATCCATATATGCAAAGAAAACAAATCTAATTAATTTACAAATGAAGTTATGTGTAATAAAATGAAATGACACATGGAAAAAGTATTAAACACATGAAGAAAGGGAGGTGTAGTAAGGCAGTGAAAGCCCAGACAGCAGCTGAAATCTCTCAGTAGTTCTCCAGCAACCCTCTGCCCTTCTTCAGTGTAAATGAACAGTAGCTACTTCATTCCAACATCTACAATAGCAGGACGATGAAGATGAAACCAGGGTGGACATTTCAGCAAAACAATGATCCAAAACACAGCCAAGGAAACTCTCAGATGCTTTCAGAGAAAGAAAATAAAGCTATAGAATGGCCAGGCCAATCACCTTAACTGTATACAATAGAGAATACAAAATGAAACTCAGAGACCCACAGAAGCATCCAGATTTTAACACTCTGTTGAGGACTTCATCCTCCATATGAGGCATTTTTAGGCTGCCGTCACCAAACAAGCCTTTTATAAAGTATTAAACATGTTTCTGTAGTTCAGCACTTTCTCTTTCTGTCATTCCATTGTTATTAGACATAACAATTTTTCAGATTTTTTTGTTTTGTTATATTTTTATGCTTGTATTGTTTGGGTTTTTACCAAAATCTGCTTCAATTCCATGTCAACAGCTCCTTTAAAAATATTATTCCCAGGAAAAAACATGAAGTGTGCAATACTTATGTTCCCCGCTGTAAATGGATGGATGGATGGATACATGGACGGATGGACGAACGGATTGATACAGATAGATAGATAGATAGATAGATAGATAGATAGATAGATAGATAGATAGATAGATAGATAGATAGATAGATAGATAGATGGATGGATGGATGGATGGATGGATGGATGGATGGATGGATGGATGGATGGATGGATGGATGGATGGATGGATGGATGGATGGATGGATGGATGGATGGATAGACAGACAGACAGACAGACAGACAGACAGACAGACAGACAGACAGACAGACAGACAGACAGACAGACAGACAGACAGACAGATAGATAGATAGATAGATAGATAGATAGATAGATAGATAGATAGATAGATAGATAAATGGATGGATGGATGGATGGATGGATGGATGGATGGATGGATGGATGGATGGATGGATGGATGGATGGATGGATGGATGGATGGATGGATAGATAGATAGATAGATAGATAGATAGATAGATATATATATGAAATGAACACTAAAGTTCATACTAAACATTTAAAAACTAGAATAGTTATTAACATTTCTAAATGTAAATAAATGTGAATTTCTAACTTTATTTTAAGTATGTGTGTGTGTGTGTGTGTGTGTGTGTGTGTGTGTGTGTGTGTGTGTGTGTGTGTGTGTGTGTGTGTGTGTGTGTGTGTGTGGTAGAAGCTTTCATTAAATTATTCTTTTATCCATCTGGTAGTTTTTGATTTGTGTAAAATCAAGTTCTGTAAGTTTTATGTTCAGACAGAATGCACATGGCGATGACGCAGTGGCGCAGTGGTTAGCACTGTCACCTCACAGCAAGAAGATCGCTGATTCGAACCTCGGCTAAGTCACTTGGCATTTCTGTGTGGAGTTTGCATGTTCTTCCTGTGTTCGCGTGGGTTTCTTCCGGGTGCTCCGGTTTCCCCCACAGTCCAAAGACATGCGATATAGGTGAATTGAATAAACTAAATTGTCTGTAGTGTATGAGTGGGAATGAGTGTGTATGGATGTTTCCCAGTGATGGGTTGCAGCTAGAAGGGCATCCGCTACGTAAAACAGATGCTGGATTAGTTGGTGATTCATTCCACTGTGGCAACCCCTGATCAATAAAGGGACTAAGCCGAAAAGAAAATGAATGAATGATAATGCACTATGGGTAAATTGACTGTGTAAAGTTTCTGAGCAACACTGCCATCTACTGGCGGAGTGTTATTTTGAGCAAGTAAAACTAAAGGAAGAAATAAGATCCACAAGCCTTTATTTTCTAAGTCTTCACACAACTTTGAAACCTTCAAAACAATTCAGCAAACATCACACCACCAGCATCAAAGAGTGAACACTAGATTAATTCAGCTCAAATCATGAAAGATACAAATAAACACACATGAGTTGTAAAGGAATTAAACTAGTGTGTGAGATTAGCTGATGTCTAATCATTTCCCCCACACAGGTAGAGCAGAGCCTTCTGGTAATCTCCATCAGTGTCTTCCTGAAAACACACACAAAAGCACATGCTGAGGTGAGTCTGTGTGTGTTAGAGATAGATAGAGAGAGAGAGAGAGAGAGAGAGAGAATGTGTGTGTGAGAGACAGGTGAGAAGCAGCCTGAATGTTTGTGTGTGCGTACATATGTGTATGTGTGAGTTTGTGTGTATGTTTTTTTTTTAATGGTGTACATGTGTGTGTGTGTGTGTGTGTGTGTGTGTGTTCTTGCCTGTATGGTGCCGTAGAGTGAATCTCCATATTTCTTCTTGTAAGCAGCTCTGATGTCCAGCATGTCCCTTTCACTCCTGGACACCATGATGCGTATGAGAGTCTCGTCGTCAGTGCCGGCACGCTGTAAACAAACCACACACATCATCATCATCATCATCATGCAGAACAACACTTTCACTTAACTTAGCGAATGATCTCCTTCATGGATGAGTTAATATAAGATGGAAATAAAGCTTCGTACCCGCATGGACTCTCGAAGGCATTCAGCGAAATAAGCCGGCACACTTTTGGCACACTTCACTACGGTGAGAGAGAGAGAGAAAGATTCACTCTTCCCAATGTCATTCTTAACTGTTATTTGTTAATAATGACCATAAGCAGGGTTTTGTCAGGTTTTATGCAAACCTATTTCACGAGTTCACACTTACAGATGTTTAAGAATAAAGCGTATTTGGCGAGCTGTCCAGGGAGAGGGCTCTGAGCTCGAGGAAGACACCCCAACTCCTGTTATTCCCTTATGCTGAGTTCAGACTGCATGATTTTCAAAGCAGTGTGAAAACATCTGTGACACGACTACATGACTATCTGGGCTAGCGTTTCGTCGCTGCTTTGTTTACACTGCAAGATGGATCGGCGACAGGGACTTTCACATTGCATGACTTTACTATAGGAAGAATCGCCGACAACTTCGTCCAAACTACGTCTCACAGCCAAAAACACGTAGTATATCTTTTGTTATTAACTACATAACGAGAAAGAAGCCTTTAATGGGGTACATGTACATGTTTGCTCACCTGGGTTTAAAGGGAATTAGCCATTTCTCCTCAACGTTGATAATAAACTAATTTCTTTCTGTATGAAACGTCAAACAGACACGGTTGATCCTGAGTCCTGTCAAACCTCCACTAGTTTTTCCTCCATTTCATGGGTCCAAATAAACCGAAAATGAGCGCTTTTAACTTCTCCCCCAGCCTCCTGCTGGCCTGCAGCAGGTATACACACACGCACACACCAGTGAATGCTGCTCTCTCATTGGCTGTAGGCGATCGCTGATGTTATTTTCAGTCAAAACTCAATTCACACGGCATGATTTGAATCGCCGACAGCTCCAGACATTTAACATGCCAAATATCTCACAGGCATCAACGACTCATCGGCGATTCTCTCAGATCGCGTCTTTGATAGTTCATACTGTGTGATTGTCACTCACGTGCACGAGCAGCGATTTGCCTGTGATTTCAGGCATTTGTCGGCGATTTCTCAAAACCTGTCGGCGAGCCAAAATCGGGGCTAAAACCACGCAGTCTGAACTAGGCATTATCGGGGAAGAAAGAGAAGTCGGGGTTCGAGCAAAGTGTCTAGCCCGGCCCTAGAAAGCTCCCCCCGGGTAGATAAGGCTTAAGAGGTGATGTGTCGGGGTGGTGGAGGGATGCTAAAGTCGTGAGATAATACAGGTAGGTCAACTTTTGGTATTTATAGAGGTTTGGTCTAATACTGAAAGGATAATAGAATGATTGTCAATGATGTATGTTGCAACACAAGCTCATTCTGAAAACGCAGTCCCGTGAACGTTTCTGGAGACCGCGAATTATGTTGCTGGAGGTAAGTATGGCTGACTGCATTTCATTTTTTTTAAACATACGCTATGGGGCAGTATGATGCCGTTCCTTTTCGGTCAGCATACCGGCTGACTGCTTACCAAGCGGCAGCTAGCTCTCTGCAACTCTCACATGGTCGCCCACTGAAGCTAAGCAGGGCTGCGCCCGGTCAGTACCTGGATGGGAGACCACATGGGAACGCTAGGTTGCTGCCGGAAATGGTGTTAGTGAGGCCAGCAGGGGGCGCCCAACCTGCGGTCTGTGTGGGTCCTAATGCCCCAGTATAGTGATGGGGACGCTATACTGCTCAGTGAGCGCCGTCTTTCGGATGAGACGTTAAACCGAGGTCCCGACTCTCTGTGGTCGTTAAAAATCCCAGGATGTCCTTCGAAAAAGAGTAGGGGTTTAACCCCGGCATCCTGGCCAAATTTGCCAACTGGCCTTTGTCCATCATGGCCTCCTAACCATCCCCATATTCCAATTGGCTTCATCACTGTCTCCTCTCCACCAATCAGCTGGTGTGTGGTGTGCGGTCTAGCGAAAAATGGTTGCCGTCGCGTCATCCAGGTGGATGCTGCACACTGGTGGTAGATGAGGAGATCCCCCCCATTGTGTAAAGCGCTTTGAGTGCCCAGAAAAGCGCTATATAAATGTAAGGAATTATTATTATTATTACCAACGTGTGGAGGGCTTTCCTGCCGCAACCAGTTTGTCCAGTTAGCTCATCGTAGACTTGAAACACAGAGAGAAGTTGACCACGACGCTAGGGTTCGAGTCCGGGGAAGATCAGTTCCAGAAATCAAGACAAAAACAGAATCCAAAAAATAAAATTAATGAGTGAATAAGAATGTGGTAAAATCCGAAAACATGGTAAAAATCAGACGAGGGCTTTTCTTTTTCTGGAAGGCTTTTGTAAACCGTCGGTTGGGTTTAGGTTTAAGTTCGGTTTAAGGTCGGTTGAGTTTAATAAGTGGGTGGGCGGGTCAATTAATAAAATTGGTTCGGTTTAGAGAAGGAAGAGGGTGGGACAGTCGATTGGTCGGCCGGTCAGTCAGTCATTCAGTCAGACAGACAGTCGGTCAGCAGCGACCTCTGGTGGGTTTATGCAAGAACAGCGAGTGCGAACGGCACTCATGAGAGAAATTTGAGATATGAAAAAGTGCAATCAGTGGCCTCTCGTGGATTTGTGAAAACAAAAACTGCAAAAATCCGTACCTCCCAAGACGTATTTTGAGGTCTCCAGAAACTTCCACCGGACTACGTTTTTAAAATGAGCCTGGATAGGTATTTTGAATTGCTGAAACATCTGCGTGTGCTCCTCCCGACATTTGTTTATAAAACATCACTTAAAGGATCACACTTTTTTTGTAAATCAGCTAATTTTACAACTCCCCAAGAGTTAAAGGTGCTGTATGTAAGTTTTTTTCTCGCGTATAAAAATACCATAATGTTTGCAGATATTTAAGAAACATGATTAGTGAACATTCGTTTTAATCTGAAAAACAATGCTGAAGTCAGATATTCTACTTTGAAAATGTGTTTTACATGAATGCTTTTCTTTTTTTTTTTAAATCCGATTCATTGAATCATCAAAGAAATATTTGAAAGATTAATCAATTATTAAAATAATCGTTAGTTGCAGACCTAATCATACTATCAGCAATAATATGAAAAATGCAGATACTGATGTGTTTTTTTTCTGAGAGCAAAATCATTAAATACTGACAAAAATCTGTACAAAATGTCAGATGTGCTTTGGGAAACATGCTGAAGCACTTAAGAGGTGGACAGCCACACATCTCCGTACCCACAGCCAGCAGCAGGGCTTCCAGGTTTCCAGTGCACTCTTCTTTTAAGCTCTCCTCGATGTCACAGCCGGCAATCTTTTTGTAGGCTTCAAACACTGAAACCGAAACAGCGCAAGCCATTAGGACGCCACATCTGAATGCATCAAGAGCCTTTGAACACACATATCCAAAAACACACACCTTTCCTCAGGTGCTCGGCGCTCCTGTTGCCCAGTATATTAATGAACTTGTCCTCGTCCGTGCCGAATTTCTCCTCTCCGGCAGCAAACAGCTCCTGAAACACGATCGACCGACACACACTTCTAAAGTTCGCAACCTAAACCTGCAGGATCAAGTTTCGTCTATTACAGGTTCACGCACTAGTCCATTGATTAGTCTAATAGTGCTGTGAAAATATATAACAATGCATTCAAAGTGATAACAGACAAAGCTGATCACTTTAAATGTTCATTTCATAATTAATAAGGGGCTTAGTCCATTTATCTATCAGGGGTCGCCACAGCAGAATGAACCGCCAACTATTGCAGCATATGTTTTCTTGCTGCAAACCAACAGCTTTGCCATATCGGCCCTGATTCGGTCTTACAGCTTAGCACAGGGATGTCAAACTCAATTCCTAAAGGGCCGCAGCTCTGCACAGTTTAGTTCCAACCCTAATTAAACACACCTGATCAAACTAATTGAGTCCTTCAGGCTTGTTTGAAACCTACCAGTAAAGCTGCGATCACACTATAGTTTGATAATGCGAAAATAGTGTTAGCACGGTGGCTCAGTGGTTAGCACTGTTGCCTTACACCAAGAAGGATGCTGGTTTGAGTCCAGTTGGCATTTCTGTGTGGAGTTTGCATGTTCTTCCCATGTTCTTCCGGGTGCTCCGGTTTTCCCCACAGTCCAAAGACATGCACTATAGGTGAATTGAATAAACTAAACTGGCCGTAGTGTATGTGACTGTGTATGGGTGTTTCCCAGTACTGGGTTGCAGCTGGAAGGGAATCCACTGTGTAAAACATATGCCGGAATAGTTAGTGGTTCATTCCGCTGTGGTGACCCCTGATAAACCAGAGACTAAGCTAAAGGAAAATGGATAAATGAATGTTTTCGAGTGCTTAATGTCACCACTTAAAATCCTTCAAACAATTTCTGCTCTGTGTTTAAATGTGAGGTTTATTTATCTTTTATTTATTATTTGTAATGTAACAAAAATATGTTATAATTACTATAATAATACCACACTAAAAAGATCTAAACACTAAATCCTTCAAAGAAACAGAAACAAACTTGACCTTTGCATCTTTCTCCACTCGGCTCTCGTCCACTCCCTCCTCTCGGCCCGCCTGTGTTTAGAGACAGAAACAAAACCAGGGGTCATTCGAGAAACATCAGCCTTCCTCCATCACCACATATGCTCAGACAGACGTGGAATTTTCCCCTAACACAGTAAACTGCATGATTAAATTACACACATTTTACCCCCGAGAACAATTTAATCTCCTCCACAGCATTAACTCAAGAGCTGTTTTAATTACTTAAGGATGACTTCACCGCTGCTCATGTTATCATTAGGGAGCTGCACCTTTTTTTTAAGTGTCTTCTTCTTACTAGCCAACAATATGGTTGAACTGTACATCACAGTATGAGAAATTTAATACACTGCTAATGATATATATATATAGGTCAGAAATGAGATGTAAAAATGTTGTTTAAAAATTACATATCTAAATTCTACAACAGTGTTTAAATTTATTTTATAATAAAATTTTATAAAGGTATAAATAACAAATTTATTATTGCAGTTTAAAAGAAGAGTTTTATAATTTGACATTTTAATACGGGGCATCATGGTGGCGCAGTGGGTAACATGATCACCTCACACCAAGAAGGTCACTGGTTCGAGCCCCGGATAGATAGATAGACAGACAGACAGACAGACAGACAGACAGACAGATAGATAGATAGATAGATAGATAGATAGATAGATAGATAGATAGATAGATAGATAGATAGATAGATAGATAGATAGATAGATAGATAGATAGATAGATAGTACAGACGGAGATGAATGGATGGATGGATACAGACAGATAGGTGCAGACAGACAGACAGACGAACGGACGGAATCTATCTATCTATCCATGCGTCTGTCTGTCTGTCTGTCTATCTATCTATCTATCTATCTATCTATCTATCTATCTATCTGTCTGTCCGTCCGTCCGTCCGTCCATCCATCCATCCATCCATCCATCCATCTATCTATCTATCCGTCTGTCCGTCTATCTGTCTGTTAGTATCCATGCGTCTGTCTGTCTGTCTGTCTGTCTGTCTCTCTATCTATCTATCTATCTATCTATCTATCTATCTATCTATCTATCTATCTATCTATCTATCTATCTATCTATCTATCTATCTATCTATCTATCTATCTATCTATCTATCTATCTATCTATCTATCTATCTATCTGTCTATCTGTCCATCTATCCATCTATCCATCTGTCTATCTGTCTATCTGTCCATCTATCTATCTATCTATCTATCTATCTATCTATCTATCTATCTATCTATCTATCTATCTATCTATCTATCTATCTATCTATCTATCTATCTATCTATCTATCTGTCTATCTGTCTATCTGTCCATTTATCTATCTATCTATCTATCTATCTATCTATCTATCTATCTATCTATCTATCTATCTATCTATCTATCTATCTATCTATCTATCTATCTATCTATCTATCTATCTATCTATCTGTCTATCTGTCCATTTATCTATCTATCTATCTATCTATCTATCTATCTATCTATCTATCTATCTATCTATCTATCTATCTATCTATCTATCTATCTATCTATCTATCTATCTATCTATCTATCTATCTGTCTATCTGTCCATTTATCTATCTATCCATCTATCTATCTGTCCATCTATCTATCTATCTATCCATCCATCCATCCATCCATCCATCCATCCATCCATCCATCCATCCATCCATCCATCCATCCATCTATCTATCTATCTATCTATCTATCTATCTATCTATCTATCTATCTATCTATCTATCTATCTATCTATCTATCTATCTATCTATCTATCTATCTATCTATCTATCTATCTATCTATCTATCTATCTATCTATCTATCTATCTATCTATCTATCTATCTATCTTTAGGCTGCTCCATTTGATTTAACCCAAATCCCCATTGTGTGTTTTACCTGTACGAGTATCACCAGCATCTTCTGGTAGTGTCCTGACGTGTCACCCATGATATCTTTCTCCAGTTTTCCTCCATGTTCTAGGTCAAGACACATGAGAAGGGCTTATTGACCGTTCACACTTATCTCAACAACTCCTGCTTATTGCTCTCAACTGGGGCTAATTGGAAAGGATCAGTTTTAACGCTGACCTTTATGATCGAGTCCTCTCAAATATCTCTATCAGGTGTCACCCATGCCTTACTGAGCTCCGTACAGACAAGGATAGATGTTTACCAACAAAACAATCATTCCTTAACATATGACCCACATAAAATATCTGATTTATGGTAATATTTGCAAATTATTTGAATGACACAATTTTGGGCGTCACAGTGAGTAGCACGATCATCTCACAGCAAGAAAGTCACTGGTTTAAGCCTCGGCTCGGTCAGATGGCATTTCTGTGCGGAGTTTGCATGTTTTCCCCATGTTTACGTGGGTTTCCTCCAGGTGCTCCAGTTTCCCCCCACAAGTCCAAAGACATGCAGTACATGTGAATTTGGTAAGCTAAATTGTTCGTAGTGTATGAATGTAAATGAGTATGAATGGATGTTTCCCAGTGATGGGTTACAGCTGAAAGGGTATCTGCTGCGTAAAACATATGCTGGATAAGTTGGCAGTGCATTCCGCTGTGGCGACCCCAGATTAATAAGGGGACTAAGCCGAAAAGAAAATAAATGACTGAATGACACAATTTCATATTTGGATTTCACATATACACCAACTGGCCACTTTATTAGGTACACCTGTCCAACTGCTCGTTAACGCAAATTTCTAATCAGCCAATCACATGGCAGCAACTGAATGCATTTAGGCATGTAGACATGGTCAAGACGATTTGCTGCAGTTCAAAGCGAGCATCAGAATGGGGAAGAAAGGGGATTTAAGTGACTTTGAACGTGGCATAGTTGTTGGTGCCAGACTGGCTGGTCTGAGTATTTCAGAAACTGCTCATCTACTGGGTTTTTCACACACAACCATCTCTAGGGTTTACAGAGAATGGTCTGAAAAAGAGGAACTATCCAGTGCGTGGCAGTTCTGTGGGTGCAAATGCCTTGTTGATGCCAGAGGTCAGAGGAGAATGGCCAGACTGGTTTGAGCAGATAGAAAGGCAACAGAAACTCAAATAAGCACTCGTCACAACTGAGGTCTGCAGAAGAGTATCTCTGAAAGCACAACACGTCCAACCTTGAGGCGGATGGGCTACAGCAGCAGAAAACCACACCGGGTGCCACTTCTGTCAGCTAAGAACAGGGAACTGAGACTACAACTTGTACAGGCTCAGCAAAATTGGACAATAGAAGATTAGAGAAATGTTGCCTGGTCTGATGAGTCTCGATTTCTGCTGTGACATTCAGATGGTAGGGTCAGAATATGACATCAACAACATGAAAGTATGGATCCATCCTGCATTGTATCAATGGTTCAGGCTGCTGGTGGTGTAATGCTGTGAGGGATATTTTCTTGGCACACTTTGGGCTCATTAGTACCAACTGAGCATCGTGTCAACGCCACAGCCTACCTGAGTACTGTTGCTGACCATGTATATACCTTTGAAACTACAGTGTACCCATCTTCAAATGGCTACTTCCAGCAGGATAACACACCATGTCATAAAGCACGAATCATCTCAGACTGGTTTTTTGAACATGACAATGAGTTCACTGTACTCAAATGGCCTCCACAGTCACCAGACCTCAATCCAATAGAGAAGCCAACAAATCTGCAGCAACTACGTAATGCTATCATGTCAATAAGGAATTTTCCAGTACCTTGTTGAATCTATGATATGAAGGATTAAGGCAGCTCTAAAGGAAAAAGGAAGTCCAACCCGGTACAAGTAAGGTGTACCTAATAAAGTGGCCGGTGAGTATATGTTCAATATATTAGCTGTAATGTTGTTTTCATATATGCACATATATCGTATATTTGAACATATGTGTACATATTTTAAATTACAATGGTTGAAAATCTATTTATAATGGCCATTTTTTGCAATATTTGGAAATATACGTTGCATAAATGACAATTTATGTAAAATCCAAACATGATCTTTTATGTCATTAGCATATTCCTAAATATAAATGGACTCTGCCATGCAATAATTACAAAATTTTAGCCTAATTATGTGGCTGCACAATGAATATTACCTTTCTTATAAGCTTTGACAATCTCTTTAATCTCTTCACATGTCCTGGACGCAAGGATCTCGATTAATACTTGATCCTCTGTACCCACTCCCTGTGACGAAATGCAGAATTAAAAAGATAAACAATCTGAGATGAGATTGGCTCAGGTTTATCATAATGGACATTGTGATGGCAGTCACTTCTTTGTGTATTTTAATTATACTCAGTTGCTGATGGATGAAAGTATGTTTGCGATTACCTTGATAGCCTTATGGAGTTCATTTGCATCATATATTGTTGGTGGAGCCATGAGGGCCACAATCAGATCCTCCAGCTTCCCTCCAAGCTCAGATCGGAGGTCTTTTACCAAATCCTGTAGATACGGATGAGACAAAATACATGCAAGGTGGATGTGGAGATTGTTCAGGACTATAATTATTTGGGTGTGTATATTGACAATAAGCTGGACTGGTCCAAGAACTCTCTGGTCACATATAAGAAGGGTCAAAGTAGGCTGTATTTCCTACGTAAACTCCGATCTTTTAGAGTCTGCAACACCATGTTGCGTATGTTCTATGAGTCTGTAGTGGCCAGTGCCATTTTCTATGCCAGGGGTTCCCAAACTTTTCAGCCCGCGACCCCCAAAATAACAATGCCAGTGACTCGCGACCCCCAATATCCTCTGAGGTGGTTATAAATACAGAAACCTTGCAAGCAATGACGCAGACACACCAATTAAATTTGTGTCAGTGCTTTAAATGTGCCAGAAAGTATAACCTGATGTTATAAAATCAAAACGCATCTGACGCTATTGCTGCCTTTAATATAATGTAATTACCCCTGGGGTCGCAATCCAATAGAACTAGTAACTATAAGCTACTATATAGTATATATTAACTATAAACGACTATTTTTATTTTCAGTATGGTTATGGATAAAATATGTTAATTCTTATGGTTTAATAAAAATAAATAGATTTTTGGAAATCACCAGGCGACCCCTCTTCATTGCCCCGCGACCCCTTGGGGGGTCCCGACCCCCACTTTGAGAACCACTGTTCTATGCTGTGGTGTGCTGGGGTGGTAGTGTAAAAGTGGCAGATATGAAGAGATTTAACAAATTGATTAGGAAAGCTGGCTCTGTGGTGGGTGAGGAATTGGACAATATGGAAACTGTGGCCGAAAAGAGAACATTGTGCAGACTTCGGTCAATTATGCACAATGCAGATCATCCTCTTCATAATGTGGTTGACGAGCTGAGAAGTACCTTTAGTCACAGACTTACCAGCTTAAAGTGTTCCACTGAACGCCACAGAAAATCCTTCCTTCCCACTGCTATCAGACTTCATAACGTCTCCCTCAGTCACTTACCCTTACAGTAATCTATGCTATACCTTGCTGCTCGTGCCATATATTACTTATTACGGGTTTTAGTGTGTGGAAGTCTGTGCATTATGTTTTATGATGTGCAATAATCTACTAGGTGCAATATTTGTACGTTTTTTTTACTGGGTCTTAAATATTTTTAGTGCAATATCATTGTTTTTTAAATGAGTGCTGAGTCACTTTACTACTGAAATATTTTATGTGTAATTGTTTTATGTGTAATATTATAGGTTTTGGTTAATATTATCTTCATTACTTGATATATGACTTAATAGTATTAGTTACCACTAATTCTTTTAAGTGTAATATCTTGTATAATAGTTTGTATACTTATGTATTGTGGCTGTTTTCTTTTATAGATTGGTTGGATTTATGTGACTTATTTCACTTATTTAATTTATTTATTTTGTCTTGTGGTTTTGTGTTTCTGTGTTTTGTGTGTTATGGCAGTCATTACATAAGCAATTTCCTGCGGGATCAATAAAGTTTTCTAAGTCTAAGGCCCCGTTTACACTAGTGCGTTTTAGTTTTAAAACGGCGTTGTAGAATGAAAACGATCTGCGTCCACACTCGCGTTTTACCCAGCGTTTCTGAACTGCTCTCCGTCCACACCAAAACGCTGAAAACGCACATCACGTGACCACACACACACTCTCGGGCAAGCGCTCCAGCATTTCTACCCAGACGAGAGCTCTGCTAGTCGGACTGCTCATCAAGCATCTCCCGCTGGATCTAATCTCACTATATTTGCTAAACGTGATATTTCATTCATGTTGTTGTCTTTATCTAACGACATAGGCCAATTCCCTGACTTTGGTCATTGGAATCTATTAAGTTACTTGTTCACGGGTAACATGTTTTGGTTAAGTGCAAAGTTAATGATTAATCCAGGTACATTGACTGATCGCTTGCCTTTATTTCCTACAATGTATAAACTTATTGTATGTTATACTTTTATAATTATCGATTATTAAAACTGATATTCAGCAAAAGAGAGGGTGCGTTTCGTATTTTCACTGAAATTTAAAGGAGGCAGTTGTTATAGGCTCCGTTTTGTTATAAATATCCACACAGTGAAGATGACGCTCATATATGCAGCACGACGCTTCAACATTTCTGCTGTCTGTTAAGTTGCTAATATTAAAATGAAAATAGGCAGTTCCTTAAATCATGTTTACATTTTATTGTTGAGAAAGTGAAACAACGTAGCCAAGGTGATGTGAATGAAGTTATAAAGTACACTGTTCCCTTTGAAGATTTACCCGTGTCCTCGGTATGTTTTCCATATCAAACTGAGAAGGGGGAGACTGCAGCCTTGATCAAACTTGGGAAGTCTTAACTTACAAGAAGAGGATGCGAGACTGAACTGTGTGTGGGCTACTTAATATTGAGGAAAAGCCCCAATCAGATAGGCAAACGTTTGCAGCCCCGCCTCCGTTTTCAGATGTCTCCGTCTTTCCCCATCCACACTGAGACGGAGCAGCAGCGTTTTAGAATGAAAACGGCCTCTCCAGCGTTTTCAAAACGCTCCGTTTTCGGCGCTCGAGAATTCCGGCGTAGTGTGGACGGATGGCGTAACCGTAGCAAAACTTATGCGTTTTCAAACTAAAACGCACTAGTGTAAACGGGGCCTAAGAAAATACAATGCCCATTAAACTGTGATGCTCATTACAATTTTAACAGCATGTCAGCACTGAGTTATCTCCACATCAATAAGTAGATGATCATATGTGCAGAATAATAGTCCAGAAATGAAGCATCTAGATATGGTGTACATTTATGCCACTTTTTTTTAGCAGTGCTATAATTGCAAAAGTATTTTCCCATTCATTTTTCTTATAGGGAGATCTTTCTTAATCATTTTAAAGGGGACCTATTATGCAAAATCACTTTTATAAGAGGTTTAAACACAGTTGTGTGGCAACAGTGTGTGAATATAGCCAGCCTCTAATGGTAAACATGTATTAATTCTACTTTTTATAACCAGACTTGATAAAAACAGTCTGCAGAAACACTTTGATTGACATTCTCCATTTGCATGTGTCACCAGAGGGTGAAAACCCCGCCCATTGGTGATGATTTGTCACTCATTAACATAAACAGCCCTGATTGAGAAGCAGCCATCTGCCATTAGAGATTTGAATTTGCCACTATGCTGACACATAGATTTTGTAGCCCCGCCCTATTTTTAAAAAAAGCACAATCTCATTTGCATTTAAAGCGACAATCACTAAAACGACACAATTTGAATCAAAGCCTAAAAGGGTCAGTTTCAAAGAGTTATAAAACATTATGTGTGTGGTATTTCGAGATGAAACCTCACATACACACTCTAGAAACATCAAAGACATTTTATATCTTGTAAAAAGGGGAATAATAGGTGCCTTTAAGGCATGAACCAAACCAGCAACTACGATGAGAATCACAACACTCTGATTTAAAGCAAAGAAGAGTATGGAAATAAGGCAAAAAGACAAAGGTGCATGACTGCATGCTCAATGGATTTAAACATGGAAAGAACTACAATCCCACCAAACCAAATTATGATAGGAGACATATTTATTTAATGCATCCATAAACAATATATTTTGCATTTTTTAAAAGAATATGCATAAATATATAAGTATTTTGATTACGTTTTTTTATTTGTGGTGCTTCGTGGGAGTGGGCAGAGATATGAATTGTGGAATTTTCTGTATACAGCTTAATGGGTAATGTAGTTTTCTGCACGTGCACATTCTTAAGAAACAGCAAAAAGCTTTAGAAAATTATGTCAGTACACGGGCAATTCCTTCGTTTTCAGCTTAGTCTCTTTTTTATCAGGGGTCACCACAGTGGAATGAACCGCCAAAACCCTATTTACTGTGCACAAATATTGTCAAAAGTATGAAAAATATAGTTCATATTCCTGAAAGCATACACTGAAACAAGGGACGCCCTAATATGGTCACCAAAGGAAAGTCAAGGTCACCTGGTGGTCGTGATTGGTACTGCACCCAACAAAGCTCATTTTTCAACCGAGGCTCTTTCTGAAAATGTAACCCTATATACATTTACGGATAGCACAAAATATGTCCCAGGAGGTACGTTTTTTTGCAGTTTTTGTTTTCGCGAATCCGCCAGAGCCTGCTGTGTATGCTTTTTGAAATCTCACTCATGCCATTCGCAAATGCTGTTCTTGTGTAAATCCACCAGAGGCCGCTGACGACTGACTGAGCGATCGACTGACCCACCCTCCTCCTTCCCTAAACACAACAAATAGTGTTTTCAGAAGCATCGATTGACCCGTCGACTCACTTCCCTAAACCCAACCGATAGTTTAAAAAAAAAAAAAATCAAGAAGATAAAAGCCTTCGTCTGATTTTCTCTACATTTTCAGATTTTACTATATTTTCACCCTGTTATTTACTTGTTTATTTTATTTCTTTGGATTCTGTTTTTGTCTTACCGGCTTTCTGGAATCGTTCTTCACCAGACTCAAACCCTGTTATTGTGGTCAACTTCTCTCTGCGTCTCAAGACCACCGATGTACATGGCGAGATAACTGGACAAACTGTTAACAGCGGTAAAGCTGCCATTACGGAGGTAATCGGTCAGCTGGTAGCATTTGTTTTAAAGACGAAATGCAACCATACATACTTCTTGATGAATCACGATCTCCGGAAATGTGTATAGGGCTACGTTTTCAGAATGAGCATATGTTGTCATTTTTTGTGGTATTAACTTCAAATTTGGAATATTATTTGATCAGGTGTTTGGCTTTGATGCTACGTCAATTTTAGGCAAAATCAGTTTTTTTATAAAATATATTTCATACAATATAATCAAATGCGCATTTATTGTTTTAGTATTTTAAAATATTAGGCACATTACACATGTCTTCCACTTTTTTAACCTTTTTAAATTCAATTTAAAATCGTATGCCGTTATAAAATGAGACCAAGCTTAAATCTTTGCAGTAAGCCATTGAAGAATAGTAAACATTTAGGTTGAGCATGCTATTTTCATATCTTTGTCTAAGTGGTTGTGACAGTTAAGGGATTAAATAAAACTAAAAGGTCCTGTTTGACTCTAATTTAAATAATGAAGAGTTTAATTTCTACTGTCTATGTGTCAATATTTATGTGGATGTGTGGATATTTAATCAAGTAATTAAAATACTTATTAATTAACGAAAGTTACTTTTCAGACAAAGTTGGAAAAGTAATTTAAATACAATCGTAAGAATGGGCGGCGTTGTGGCGCATTGGGTAGCACGATCGCCTCACAGTAAGAAGGTCGCTGGTTCGATCCTCGGCTGGGTCATTTGGCATTTCTGAGTTTGCATGTTCTCCCTGTGTTGGCGTGGGTTTTCTCCGGGTGCTCTGGTTTCCCCCACAGTCCAAAGACATGCGGTACAGGTGAATTGAATAAGCTAAATTGTCCATTGTGTATGTTTGTGAATGAGTGTGTATAGGAGTTTCCCAGTGATGGGTTGCAGCTGGAAGGGCATCCTCTGCGTAAAACATATACTGAATTAGTTGGCGGTTTATTCCGCTGTGGCAACCCCTGATTAATAAAGGGACTAAGCCGAAAAGAAAATAAATGAATGAATTGTAATAATTAGTAATGAACTGCTTTTCTAAAGTAACTTAGCCAACACTGTTTGGGACGTGACAATAATTTACATTCAGAAAACATATTATTCCTGGTCCAACACAAGATAATAATCTAATACCCCTACTCACCTTTCCGAAAGCTTTTTTATAAGCTGCTTTTATTTCCTGTCTCTGGTCATTAGACCGAGCTGCCAGTAACATGAGGATAGTGTCTTCATCAGTGCCTGAAAACAAAGCATCCGCATCAGCTCAGACAAGACGACAAAAGTGACAAATTTTCTCCAAGTTAAATGAGGATGTCTAACATTGTGTAAACGTTACCACAATTTCCAGACACATTATCGAGATTACTAATAATACCTATACTAATACTAATAAAATGCCCATTTCATTGACCAATGTATTTGGTTTAATGACCAAAAGAACATTATTGTGCCTCTATTTCCATTACTATTTTTTATTTTATGTATTTAATTTGAGATTTACTTCCAAGTGTGCTTAAAGGGTGAGTGCCTTATTTTATTTTGTATGTCTTTTCTCCTATGGTTGAGAGAGGAAGCTCAGGGAAGTTTATGTTGTTGATTTTCATCTTTGATTTTTTTTTGCATTAGGTAAGCTAGTCCTTTGTTTAAGTTGTTTTAGGCTATACTCACTCAGTTTGATGTCTAGTTTCTGTTAAAGTTCCTATTTTTCAATTTAATAAATTCACATTTTTATTTTTTCCAAACTCTGTGTGCTGACTCTTCACTCTGGAGCTGAGGATTTAAGTGTGTTCTTCACGTTTCTTTTTTTATCAGTTCTAATTCAATATTATTTACCAAATTTTCTTTGTTACACCTTTTAAACAAAAAAACCTGGGACCCTATCATACACCCGGCGCAATGCGGTGCAAGGCATGACACAATTGTTGTTTGCTCGTTTCAGCTCGGCACAAGAGTCGTTTTGATGTTTTGCAGCACGCTGTTTAAATAGCAAATGCATTTGCGCTCATATGTGCGCCCATAGGCGTTCTGGTCTAAAAAAGGAGTTGTGTTAAGGCGCATTGCTATTCTGAGGAACTAAAATAGATTGTTTAATAGACCAGATCAAAGCAGGTCTATAGTCAAGCGCAGAGCGTGTTAGTTGTGTGCCTGACTTAAACATTGCTTAATACACAAAGGATGTACAGCAGTACGCAAATATCTTTACAAGTGAAAAAGAATTAAAGGATTAAAATATTACAAAAATTATCATTTTCTAGCCTACATGAATAGAAAAACCACTGCCTCCATGCCTTCTTCATCTCGAGGGGCTTTTTTCAGTTTATTCATGACAATTTGCTTTTGTATAATGTTATTATTAGTAGTAGTATTATTTATTATATGCATATTTATATTTGTTTTATTAGAAAACAAGCTTAGATTTGTCCTCCTGTCAGGTTTTAGACCATATGGGGCACAGCATGTGGATTTGAAAATAATTTAGGTTTTTGAACACACTTCGTTATTATTGCTCATTTATTCGTTTGCTGGAAATTAGAACTGAATTTTACAATTTTGAAACAAATCTTTGAGCTTAACAAACAAAATGAATTATGTATAGGCTAATGGATGTCTGTGTGTTCAACACATTTCCCTTATCAACGAGAGTGAAAGTGAAAGTAAACAATTTTGAGGCTCATTCTCTCATTCTCACTCTGCATTTGCTCTGTTGAACTGTTTTCTGGCTAGTGAAGCGCTCAGTTATTCCACTTACAAAGTCCGCCATTTAAATAGCAAATGTGCTATGGCGCAATGCATAAAGGGAATGGGAGATGAGACTCTGATTGGTTTATTCTCAAAACATACCCAGAACTCATTAAAACAAAAAGGAAACAAAAAGGCTCAACCCTGTTAGACCATGCGCCATGGCGCAAAGCAGATTTTTCCACTCTTAAAATAGCAAAAGTGGATTCAGACACGCCCTTAATGCTTTTGCGCTCTGCGCTTTGGGCTTTGTGCCTGGATTGTCAAAATAGAGCCCCTAGACTTTAAAAAGGTTATAACAAAAACAAACAACAAAAAATAGCAATATTTCTTCAACTTTCAAAGTCCTACCGATGCCTTTCATGGCCTTGCGCAGAACTTCGGCATCATGCTTTGCATTGAAGTGCACAAAGGGTTTCACACTGCCTCGACTTGCCTGGGGGAAAAAACACAACAAATCAATATACTACAACATATAATTTAATAGAGGCTGACAACTGGTTGTGTTCTTTGCAACTAAAATAAATAATGCGTCAAGGTAACTATCAGGGCTGCACTTTTTCCATATAACCAGTTGTGTTTCTCTTTTCGTGCTTCTTGCAAAGTAACTAGTAAAAAATTTGCTGTTAGAAATATTTATTATATTTAAACGAGTTGAAAATAAATCTTGAAAACAGCACTTGGGAAGTATTATAAAAATAATTAAAATTTCCAATCATTTTGACTCCAACTGTATTTATTTTTGTACGAACTATCCCTTTAAGTGTTGGCATGGTGATTGTTGTCATGGAGGTTAAGGGGACGGATGACTGGGTTACAGCAGATGCAACCTGTATCAGATCAGACTCAGGAAACCCACAGAATCGGTCACTTATTACCATCCCACAAACGGCAAGAACCAAGCACATACTGTAGTAGTGCATCTACAGGGATTAGCCATGCCTGGGCTGGCCTGGCATATCATGTGTTGTTTCTTTAAAGTTTAATGACATGACACGGACAGTTTTACAAGCTGACATGATTCTCAAATGCAATCCAGTGTTGTTTTTGCACTGCATTATGCTGATATTCAATCATTTCATATATATTATAATAATAAACATGCTTGATACTGATATTGTAGTCACTTCAAATTAAAGAGAACAATGTTTAATTAAAGGCAGCACAATGGCGCAGTGGGTAGCACAATCGCCTCACAGCAAGAAGGTCTCTGGTTCGAGCCCCGGCTGGATCAGTTGGCATCTCTGTGTGGAGTTTGCATGTTCTCCCTGTGCTCGCTTGGGTTTCCTCCGGGTCCTCTGGTTTCACCCACAGTCCAAAGACATTTAGTATATAGGTGAGGGATTAATTGAGTAAACTAAATTGGCTGTATGTGTGTGAATGAGTTGTATGGGGGTTTCCCAGTACTGTGTTGCAGTTGGAAGGGCATCCGCTGTGTAAAACATATGCTGGATAAGTTGGTGGTTCATTCTGCTGTAGTGACCTGATGAATAAAGGGACTGAGCCGAAGGAAAATAAATGAATGAATGACACAATTTCATATTTGGATTTCACATGCACACTCACCGGCCACTTTATTAGGTACACCTGAACAACTACTTGCTAACGCATATTTCTAATCAGCCAATCACTTGGTAGCAATGCATTTAGGCATGTAGACATGGTCAAGACGATCTGCTGCAGTTCAAACCGAGCATCAGAATAACTTATCTAAAAGACGAGAAAGCATTTATCTAGAATATGCCTAAATCTCACTGTGTTGATATCAAGGCATGCATTCATTCATTTTCTTTTTGGTTTAGTCCCTTTATTAATCTGGGGTCGCCACAGCGGAATGAACCAATTCACCTATTGTGCATGTCTTTGGACTTGTGGGGGAAACCGGAGCACCTGGAGAAAACCCACACGAACACGGCGAGAACATGCAAACTCCACACAGAAATGCCAACTGACCCAGCCGAGCCTCGAACCAGCGACCTTCTTGCTGTGAGGCGATCGTGCTACCCACTGCACCACCAAAAAGTTAATATGATTCAACAAAAAAATTAAGGCAGCAATCATTTTTACAGTGTATATACAATAAAGCAATACACAAGTACATTTTGTTATTATACCTATTAAAGTAATAACTTTCGCTCTATATTTTGGTGATAACAGTATATATCATGATAAAAGCTTCAGCGATTAATCTCAAACAAGACATTTTACACTGGCAAAAGCCAACGCTGTATTGTAGAAAGCATAAGATACTGTTTTTGGCATTGAATTGAACTGAGGGTCTTAGGGTTAACTGATCCCTCACCTTCAACCTGAACTTGAACCTTAAACCCAAACCTTATCCTTCGCTCATCAACCTGAGCTGCAATCCTGGTCTATCTTTAATCAGTCGTGTATGGATTACAGATAGTCTGTGTGTATAAAGGGTTACCAGAAAGATTACAATCACAGGGTTAACAGGAATTGTGGATTTGGTTGTTTTCTACCTGCTAAAGGTCATCCTAGAGACCTGAGGGATCACGAAAGGGCATTTATTGGAAACAGTTTACAGAATTATTGAATCATATTACCTGTCTGAGAATTTTTCGATGTTTTCTAAACAATAACGATGAAAAAACTGAGGCATTACATGCATGGCATTTTTATTCTCAAACACCTGCGCTGGCTACTGATGTTTATTGATAATGTTTGTTTGACATTTTTCCATTTCAGCACAGGAATGAAAATTGCAAGATTTTTTTTTTTTTTTTTTTGCTTTTAAAACTGTTACAGAAATATTTTGCCCTGTAAACTATAAAACAAGCAACAGCTTTTTCTGATACAATATTATAATATTTGGCAAAAAGTAAAAGTTGCATATTATTGCTTTTGACCCCGTTTGCAGGGACTAAAGTAACACAAGTGTGCGTCAAAAGTAACAACAATATTTGCTTGATTTTCTGGCTTAATCTTGTTTATTTTAAAAATATCTGACTATGACCTTATTAATAATCACTGCAAACATATTTTGTTCTTTATTTTTGCAAAAAAAAATAAAAAATTAAACAGCATTTTCATTTTAAATTTCAGCTCCATCAAATGTTTCAAAAGTTCAGAGACCCAGATGGGATGTGATGGTGCGGGAAAAAAAATAGGTGGAAGATAAAAAATTGGTGGGAGAAAAAAACAGTGATGGGAAAGTATATATATATATATATATTTTTTACAATTTTGCGTTCCCTCGCAAAACAGTTTTTCCACAAACACTTCCTGTTCACTTCATACACGTCAACCCTCCCTTTTTTTTGCCAAGATTCTCCTGTATTTTACTATTCTATCCCACTATCATCCTATCATTAAGTATTTCCACATATTTCTCATATATTTTTAATCTTGAAATCACGCCGAAATTAACATAAAAATATCAGCATTCACTTTCTTTCCATTAAAGCTTTGTCGATCGTCGCCCTTCCTATGCAACCTCTGAATCAGCGAATGAATGTATAAGTGCTGATTTACAGACGCGCTTCGTATTATAAAATGATCCCAGATCAGCTTCTGTACACACCATTTACAGTGGAGCAAAAGTGCAGGGTGTTCGGAAGCTGATCAGGGATCAGTTAATCATAAGAAGTGTGTCCATCACTCCGCGCTTATACATTCCTTCGCTGATTCAGAGGTTGCATAGGAAGGGCGATGGTTGACGCACAGCTAAATGAATAGAAAGTTAATGCAGACATTTTGATGGTAATTTCAGCGTGCTTTCAAGATTAAAAATATATCAGAAATATGTCAAAATACTTAATGAAAGGATGATAGCGGGATAGAATAGTAAAATATGGGCGAATCCTGGCAAAAACGTGAGGGTTGACATGTATGAAGTGAACAGTGTTCGTGGAAAAACGACGAGACAGGAGTTTTTGCGAACGCAAAATATCTTTGTGAGGGAACATAAAAATGCTAAAAATATTTATATATTATTATAATATATAATATTATATTATGTAATATTATAATATATTATATAAAATACAAAAAATCACTTTTTTTTCTCCCACCCAGATTTTTTTTATTCCACCTATTTTTTTCCCTCACCATCATGTCCCTTCCGGGTCTCCGTACAAAAGCATACTAACAATGTTAACATTTTCTACAGTTTTTGAATATTTTTTTATATTATTTTCAATATGCATTAATTTTATAAAACATCTCAATCCAAACACTGCAAATTCTAATGTGAAATTGAAAACTAAGGTTTGTCTATTAGCAGTGGGACATGAATAACAGTGTTACTTTCATCCACACCGGAACTTTTGCCATTTAACCCTGATTTACTTTTAAACTGAACAACTCAGACATTGCAAACTCAAGCATGCGCTATTGCACTAAATAACCTGTAGATTGATCAATAGTGTGAAACATATTGAATAAATGTCAGTATTTGACGTCATTATGACGGTAGTTTAAGATGATGGATCGACGTTGGATTTTGGTCACTTTACATGACAACCTAAATCAACCAAATGTCAACGCCATTTGACCGTTATTGGACGTCAAAATAAAGTTGTCATTAGATGCTGGCTATACATTGAATTCTGGTCACCTGACATCATGTCCTAAATTAAACCTAAAATAAATGTCTTATGACAGGCTCTTTTATGTTGGATTCTTCTATACAAACACAATGTTTCTCCCCATAAACAAATAATATAGAATAATAAAACTGTCAGAGATAAGTACAAATCAATTTCCTATGATAACTGGGTTAAAAAAGAGATATTCTATTGGTCTCGCAGTTATTAAACAATGAAGGATATTTACTGACTTATACTGAATTTTTAGAGAAGTTTAGTTTTCCAGTGCCTCCACAAGATTATAGTACAGTAAATGATGCAATACCAGCAGGCCTGGCGAGACTTTTGCAGGGTTACAGTGAACCAAATAAACAGTTAAAATGAGATTTTATTAGATGGTGTTGAAATCAAAGATAGAAAATGTAATAATACATTTCTTAGATGTTTGATTCAATATCCTACAAATTTTAGACAAAAGTATTTTTGGAATAACCAATTTGAGAATATCAATCAGAACTTGATCTGGACTTATAACAACAAATAATGTGTCACTAATAAAGTCAGTGAAATCTACTTTAAAATTATACATAAAATATATCCAATCAGCCAGTTTCTCAAGAGATATAGAGTTGATCTTTCTGAATCTTGTGTTTTTTGCAGAATGGGTGTTGAAAATCATCATCATCATCATCATCATCATAATAATAATAATAATAATAATACATTTTATTTGTAATGCGCTTTTCTTAAACTCAAAGCGCTACAAGGCAAAATACTAACAATACAAGGCAAGCAGAAACAGCACAACAATAAAAAGATGCAATAAAACAATAAGAATATGAAGCATAAGATAGAATAAAAAGACCGTTGAGTCTGTATTCGTTTTTTGATTGTATGTATGTTAAATATTTCTGGTTTGATGTTGAATGTGTATTTAATATACTGAGTGGTCATAGAATTAATATAAGAGATGTCATATTTTATGTAGATGAAAAAGGTATGGATAAGAATCTCCTGTTTATGTTAAATCTTTTGAGATTATTAAGCAAGTTTCATATACACAAGTGTAAATGGTCGGAGAGGAAGCCTAGCATCTTCCATTTCAAGGCTGATTTAAAAGTTTATTTTGAAACTCAATAAGGACTTTCAAGTCATAACCAAACTGTGAATATACACCAAAAACTAAACTCCTCTACTCTATGGTAATTGTTATTTATACCCGTTCTTTTTTTTCTCTCCTTCTTTCTTTCTTTTTGTTATTTTGCTAACAGATTTTATGCTAAAATGTGAATATCCTATTGATTTGTTACGCATTTGACTGAAAGTGCTCAGCAAATACAATAAATAAAAAAGCTACAAATGAATACATAAATAAATAAAAAATATTAATGTCTTATGGCATTGTTTGCCTGCTGGGTTGTTTAATAAACCTATATAAAAGACAAAAAAACAAGTCTAAAGTCAACCCTACAGAATAACACAAAACGAAGCCCTACATGAACCTAAAGGCAAAGGTAAAATAAATTATAAATGTTTTTATACACAAAAACAGGACAGAAATATGGGATAAATGCGGTTTATCACTTACCATGTGTACAGATGCAGGCAGCACTGTGTGAACTTCTGTAAAAGAAAGAGCAAACACGTTTATTATTATTATTATTATTATTATTGTTATTATTATTATTATTATTATTATTATTATTATTATTATTATTATTATCAGGCAAATTCAGAAATGCGTTACGCGGTTAAGCAGAAAAAAACAACTATTTATTCGCTAAATGATTGACTCTGAGTTTACAACCCCTGTCTTTTAATCCTTTAAACTACTACGTTTCAGCAGATAATTTAGCGAGGATAGGGGATGTACAATACCTGTTGATGTTTTCTGTCACCTGTAATCGAGAGGTCAGACTTCTGCCAGTGTCACTCACATCAGCGAGGAGTTGTACTTAAATGTTGGCCACGCCCACAAAATCAGCTGTCAATCATATCGGGAGAACAAACAAGTCTGAACTTTGGGAGGAGATGTGAGCGGGTTAGTAAATACGTAAGTATCTGCATATAAGGTCGTAAATAAGCGTGTTAGCACTGTTAATATATGCAATAGATAAAGAAATGGAAGATGTTGCGAAGTAAGTCCGTTTGAATCTATTTTGCAGCAAAACACCGAACGTCCACATGTGGTCAGTGTAGAGCCACGTTTGGACAAATCCCACATGAGGAAATACTATAGTAATATCATACTGTTATTGAAACGTTTCCTTCTATTTGTTGGGACATTGTGACATTTGGTGTACATTTGGACAGCAAAGATGATGACTTAACTGCAAACTGTTTACTCATTTTACTTAAATTCTTCATCCACTAATGCAAAAAAAATTATGAAAACAGCTCCTCAATTGATTGTGTTTAAAAAAGAGTTTGCCACATATCTAGAAGCTTTAAAAATAATGAAAGGTGAGAAGCCTAAAAAATTATATGATTTGTTTCTAAAATATGGTTTTATTTAACCCCTAAAGATTTTCTGTTTGATGTCTGCATGGTATGTTGTTGTTTTTTTGTTTTTGTTAAGTTATTTTGTACATTGTATTTTTATTTTTGTCTATTTTTATGATTTTGTATATCATTCACTGTATATCTGACAAGGCTCAGTGAGTTTGTGCAAGATTATATGTGGACTGAGTTATATATATATATATATACACATACATACATACATACATACATAAATACATACATACATACATATATATATTGTTATTGAACAATATGTGTAGAGCAATTCCAGTGTATGGATGTGACAGTAAAAACTTATAACATCAGTTCACATAGAAAGTATATGCTAGCATTATCTTGAAACATCTGTTTATGTTTTCCAAAATAACACAACACAGAGCTACCTTAGCACATTTTTTGGTTCTGTGTTCAAATTCAGATTTTTTGGTTAGAAATATTTCAGTTCTTTGATAAGGTTTATGATCATGCTTTAATCCCTGACCCTGACAGCCATTTTTGGCTGGTCAGATTTTCTTGAGACTCTCAACCGAAATGTACAGTTACCTCCCAGGTAGCAAATAATTCTGGCCCAGAATTAGCATAAAGCTGGCACAGCAGGCATTCATCCGGCACTGGAATACAGCATTTGGGCCAAACATGGCCTGGGTTTGGCAGAGATGGCACTGTCTTTAAGGCTGCACACAATACTTGGGCCAAATGTAAAATGTAGTATTTGGCCCAGATGTTAATAATTGATGTGTGAGCCATGGATGTTTGGCCTATCTTGACCCCCATTTAAAATACACTTTTATTATTTTCGAATAAAGGTTGAAAATAAGGTCAAATCCAATTAGTCCCTTAGAGAAAAAATGCTTCATGGGTTAATCAATTTTATTGCAGTTGTGATGCACTATTTTATCTTGCCCAGATATGGGTTATTAACTTGGCTGAGCTTGATATGATGCATGTTTTGGTCATTGTCTGGCATCCAGATTTGGTCCAGTCATGTACTGTAATTCATTGTGGCATGTGGGCCAAGCAAAAGCTGATTGTATGGGCCAGAGCTGGGCCAGAGAAATTGTGGGCTGTTCAGTATGGGGTGATCATAGCTAAAAAAAAGTTATGCTTTGTTTCTGGAAGAAACATGTTAGGCCTCTTTTTTTTCCCGACTGGCTTCTTGGACTCACCCCCACTTTACATTGGGAAAGAATTAGATATACCACTTCAGGGAACTCTGCAAATATTGTGGGATCCAGACTTTTTTTTTCTAAAACACCATAAAGGCTATTAGTGCTGTTTAATTTCTGAAGATTTGTACGATTTGTAAGATTTGAAGATTCTCTCTCTCTCTCTCTCTCTCTCTCTCTCTCTCTCTCTCTCTCTCTTCATATCTTGCTGTGCCTTTTTGTAGGTCATATATGTCTTGTTTGTCACCATTTTCCCTTGTTTCATGCTTTATCTTACATTTTGCACAGATTGTTTCTTGATGGGTTTGTCTGTCTGTTCCTTGTTTTTCTATGACTGCAAAAAAAATAATCATCTGTAGAAAAATTTCAATCTGTAAACATTTTTATATTTTAAATGAGGAAACTAAACATGCGTTATGAATGTGACAGTTTACAGAATTACAGTATACGACTTACTTTGTAGAACGTCTGTGAATTAAACTACACAACACAAAAGAAATAATGCTTATCAAAATGATAAAGGTACAGGCTCACTATAGAACAAAAATTACTGATTTTATTTGACGTTTTTTGCATTTATGAGCAAAAAGCTTCATTATGGATCGTTATGGATTCGTTGTGCCACTTGTCTGACTTTGTTAGATCAAATATAATTGTTTGAAAACATTGACAGGCATTTTTGAGTATTTTATAGTACTGTAAAAAACAAGCCTACACAAAAAACCTAGAAAAAGTTACGCTGCTTTGGTGAAAACTTTATTTTATTCATGACAAGGTTGACATTTGCATGGAATTGCTCTGTTTATATCATAGTAATTACCACACTTTGTAAATTAATGCTACAGCATAGTGTACTGTACTGAACTGATAAACTGTAGCCTAATTAATACTTTACTATCAGCTATATACAGTACATTTTCGTTTCTACTACATGAACTGTGTTTGTATTAAGTTTGTGATTAATGACCAAAGACTATAATGCAATTCTGCATTAACAGTTTTGTTGATCAAGGAACATCATTGTTGTTCAAAACTAATATTACTTATTTCTACCCCTGAACCCTAACCCTAACTGTAATGAATTCCCAAATTCAGTGGGTAGTTGGATAACAATGATGTAACGTTTCCAGATAATGTTAAATTTATAACCCTAACTGTAAACCTATTAACAGAATCTGTCAATGTATCCCTTAAATCTGATTGGCTGATTTGAATGTTGTTCTAGGATCAACACAGATGTTGACCCATACTGGTGAAATCACACTAACCAAAAGCTATGGTGCATTATGTACTTTTCATTAATAATAATATTAATATCTTTTATTTATAGGCGCCTTTCAAAGCACTAAAAGCAGTAAAAATAACAATCCGCATATTATTAAACCAGTAAATCATTCAAATCTCTCCTGAACAAAAACTTTTTTATCTGAGATTTAAAGTTGGAAATCGAGTCTACCTGGCGAATGTGCAAAGGCAGGGAATTACATAACTTTGGTACTGTACAACTAAAAGCCCTGCCACCAAATTTCTTCATCTTAAAGTTTGGTTATTCATTCCGCTGTGGTGACCTCTGATAAATCAGAGACTAAGCTGAAGGAGAATGAATGAATGAATGAATGAATGAATGAATGAATGAATGAATGAATGAATGAATGAATGAATGAATGAAAGAACGAACGAACGAACGAACGAACGAACAAACGAACAAACGAACGAACAAATGAATGAATTAATGAATTAAATTTGTAGGAATTATAACCTGATAATGAACAAAGAGCTAAAGGCAAAATTATTATCCTCCACTAAAGCAAGAACATTCTCACAGTATTTCCTGTGATATATTTTCTTCTGGAGAATGTATTTTTTGTTATAATTATTTAACAATTTTAAGGTCAGTATTATTAGCCTCCTTAAGAATTGATTTCCCTGAATTAGCTAAAAAACACTGCTTATAATTACTCTAACCTGCCTAATTACCCTAATTAACTCCTTAAACTGTACTTTGAATACTAGTATTTTGCAAAATAGCTAGTGAAATATTATGTACTGTCATCATGGCAAAGACAACAGAAATTAGTTATTAGAAAATAATTAATAAAGAAATTGTGTTTAAAATGTGTTTTTAAAAAATCTAATTAAACAGCACTTGGGAAATATTTGAAGAATAATTAGAATTTCACAGGCGTGCTAAACATTTACTGTATATACAGTTGAAACCAGAAGTTTACATACAATCTAAAAAAAGAAATATAACCATTTAAACATGTCTGATGGTAAATCGTACTAAACGTTTACTATTTTAGGTCCGTTAGGATTACCTAAATCATTACCTAAATTGGCTAAATGCCAGAATAATCAGAGAATGTTTTTTTTGAGAATTTTTTATTAATTTCTAGACAGTCAAACGTTTACATTTCCTTGGTATTTTTTAGCTTTGCTTTTAAACTGTATAACTTTGGTCAAATGTTTTAGGTATCCTTCCACAAGCTTCTCACAATAGTTTAAAGGATTTTTGGCCTGTTCCTCCTGACAGAATTGGTGTAACTGAGTCAGATTTATTGGCTGTCTTGCTCGCACAAGCTTTTTCAACTCTGCCCACAAATTTTCTATAGGATTGAGATCAGGGCTTTGTGATGGCCACTCCAAAACATTCACTCTGTTGTCCCTAAAGCACATTTAACTAATTTGGCAGTATGCTTAGGGTCATGGTCTGTTTGGAAGACCCATTTGTGCCCAAGTTTTAATTTCCTGGCTGATATCTTGAGATGTAGCTTCAGTATTTCTACATAATGTTCTTTCTTCATGATGCCATCTATGCTGTGAAGTGGACCAGTCCCTCCTGCAGCAAAACAGCCTCACAACATGATGCTGCCGCCCCCATACTTCACAGTTGGGATGGTGTTCCTAGGCTTGTAAGCTTTCCCCTGTGTTCTACAAATGTAACACTGGTCATTATGGCCAAACAGTTCAATCTTGGTTCCATCAGACCACAGGACATGTGTCCAAAAATTAATCTTTTCCCAGTGTAATTTAGCAAATTGTAATCTGGCTTTTTTTGTTGGTTCTGGCTTGTTGATTTTCACTTGTTGTCACACACAGAAGCAGTGTGTTTGAGGTTTTCCTTAAATACTATTCTGCAGTTGTGCCTCCAATTAACTCAAATGTTGTCAATAGCCAATCAGAAACTTCCAAAACGTTGACATCATCATCTGAGCTTTTT